TACAAAAAAACAAACTACCCAGAATCCAACTAGGAAAGGGGTTTGCCAACTAAGCATTGAAACAAATTCAGGGTGCCAAGTCAGCCTTAGGGAACTTCTTCGATAATCTTGGCGAGTGACTTTGGTAACCGCGCCCGTACAAGTAACCGCTGAAGGTTACACGCACATTTCCATGCAATTATAATTCTCCCAACATAAAATCCGCGAGACATGAGACACGCACATTTCCATGCAATTATAATTCTTCCATCCACCCTCGGCACCATGAGGAGCCTCAATCAATTGTGAGTATCAGCAAGCGATCAATCAACGCAGCCTACATGACCTCGCAGAAGTTCATACATAAGGCGGTCTATGATGGTAACACTAATCCAGCTTGATTTAAGAATGAGCATACATGCTAGGCATGAGCATGGGCTGGTTCTGGGCTGAGCCAGGCTGTTGACACTGGAGCCATCCCGGGGGGCGTTCTGTGATGAGTCGGTTTCACGCCAAGCCTGCCAGAGGTGAGACAAGCAGGGGTTGCACATTAATCTGGACAAATTGCTGGTTTGATCTATGTGAATCTGGCCAAGAGCACACCTGGCTTTGTCTATGAGTAGACTAGCCGTGGTACATGACCTTCCTGCTGCAAGCTGTCCGAGCTTTAGTCACTACTAAAAACCAGGCTAAGACCGACCGGCTAAACATGCAAGAAGTTCAGTTCTTCTGCCTGTGTTGCAAACTGGCTGGCCCGACCATGCCGGACCTAGTTCAGTCGTATGAACTTGTCTGCTGCACTCATGTTAGTCCTTAGTTCGGCCCTGCAGTGCGCTTATGTCAAGTCAGGGTCATTTCAGAGCACAATGAGCTGACTGGCAGGTGCCGAGCGGACAGCTGATCCTAGGATCTACTGAGTAGTAGTGGACCCTTGACCCGAATAGCGTAGTGATTGTATAATGCTTGAGACGATTAAAACATTCAAATACAGAAAGTATGAATATGAGTACAGGGGAATTCGTATCGACCTAACTAGCCATGTACTCTAAGGGGTACATTCACTTATTTAAATTCATTCCCAACCATGCGGCTCGTACAGTTACGAAACTGTTCCTGCCAAATTCCTCTTGCCTGTAGCTGACCCGACAATGTTTGCTTCGACGGTCCAGATCCATCTTAACCATACGACTATTCGCGACACTTATGCCCTTTCGCATTCAGCCTCGGTGTTGTGTACTTCGTTTGCTGCGGTTAGGAGTGCATAGTAATGTTTCATTCATTACTATACGCATCGCCCCCCTTCACTCCTGACCGTAGCTCGACTTGACCTGCTTGACCACGCCGCTGAGTTCGGAGCAGTGCTCGTACTACTAGCGTGGCAGTCGCTAAGTCAGCTGCCATATCACCCGTCAGGCAGTAGACCTTGCCCTTGTCCACTTCGTCCTTGACAAAGAAATATCGCAGCGCAATGTGTTTGGTGCAGTTGACGAAGCCGGGTTTGTTCGTGATGCGGATCGTGCTTTGATTGTCGCAGTGCAGGCGAAAGGTGGGCGAAACTGGGATTTTTGCCTCCTGCATGAGTTTTTGCAGGTAGAGGCCTTCGCGAACTGCTGCTGTGGCTGCGATGAATTCTGCTTTGACTGATGGGAGGGCAACCAGCTCCTCTTTCTGCGAGTTCCACGAAATTGGTCCTGTCTGCTCGAGGCGAAACAGGAAGCCATTCCTGGTCCGTCGATTGTATGGGTCTGTTGCGTGATCAGCGTCCAGGTTGAAGGATGGAGTCGGCACTGTTGAGTAGCAGAGCCCGATCTTGGGCGTTGAAACGAAGAACTGTAGGGCGCGCTGCAGATCCAGAAGGTTCTCAGCCGTTGGTTTGCGGGAAAACTGAGCCAGTTGGATCGCAATGTAACAGAGGTCAAGCCTTCAGGTTACAGAGGAGAAGAGCAGGCATCCCATGTGTTGCTTATAAGTCTGAATGCCAGCGGGGGATAGGGCTTTGTTGTCAGGTTTGTGGTTCGGTCCGTGTTTTGGAAGGGAGTGGAGAGTGGTGCAGGCGAAATGTTGAAGCGTTTTTCAAGCTCCTCTGCATACTTAACCGCTGAGAGGTGGATAGCTTCTAGCGCGTAGGAGATGATGAGGCCTAAGAATTGCTTCACCTCGTAGTTGCAGGTAATATCGACGCGCCCCGCCAGGCCTTTCTCGAACTGCTCCAGTAGTTCATTGCTTGACCCTATATAAAGAAGGTCGTCGACGTAGACCGTGAGCAGAATGTATTCGCCGCGGAAATCACGGCGGTACATCCCTGGGTCGTGAGGCAGCTGCTTGAAACCAATTTCAAGCAGGATGTTGTGCAAATACTGTTGCCAGAGCCTTGGCGCTTGCTTTATCCTGTAAAGAGACTTGCGTAGCTGGCTCACGCACGAATCCCCTTCGCCGTACGTGGGGTTGCTCCACGTGATGGCGAAATCCCGCGTCGGCAAAAATCGCGTTTGTCTCAAAAGAATCGACCCAAATTGCTCACACTTCGCCACGTGGGCGTTTTTCTCAATTGATTCGACCCCCTTCCTCACCGCCCCCCCAATCCGATTTTCCCGCCCTTCCCCTCGAAAATTCGGGCACCCGCTAGAATTTTGTGGAATCACAAACAGTCACGAATACGTGCTCCCTATATCATGCCAAATCCACCATGTAGTTGTGGCATGCCACATCAGCTTTCGCAATTGATAATTTTGGCAGTTGCTTCTCAATCCCAGGAGGCTCATATGCATTGTATCATTTATTTTTCTGGATTAGCCCATGCCATTAATGCAGATAGGGGCACAAGAAAACACATGACAAATAATCTAGAGTGTTTCAATATTTTTTTATATCTATATGAAGCTTATTCCAAGAAACATAACAAAACTAAGAGTTAAATTTCATAAGCTTATTAAAAAATCACTCCAGGGCAATTAAAAAAAACCTTTTTTGAACTAGGTAAATATCTGGTTTGATTTTACTGCTTGATATTATATTGCAAAAATTATTGTACTCATATTACAAAGATTCGAAAATATGTTACTTTAGTGGCACATAATCAATAAAATCCATATTACTGCTAAAGTTCTTAATAAAAATCATAGGTGTTCTGTCCAATCAAATATCGCTCGCATGTTGAAATCTTAGCGTTACGAAAAAACATGTATTCGTGATTTTTTTTATTTAACGAGATAGATCCAGCGGGTGCCCGAACTTTGGAGGGGAAGGGCGTTAAAAACGGATTGGGGGGGCGGGGGGAAAGGGGGTCGATTCAATTGAGAAAACCGCCCACGTGGCGAAGTGTGAACAATTTGGGTCGATTCTTTTGAGACAAACACGATTTCCGCCGATGCGCGCGATTTCGCCACGTACTGTGCTCTTCAAATTCGTGCCGACCTAAAACATGTGGATCTACATGTAACCTACCGACTGCTGTCGACATTGCGACGGTTGCATCCAGAACCGGCTCCGACCGACCAATCCCAAGCACCACTCCAGTGAATGCATGCACTGAGGACCGCTAGAAACACGCCAAGCAGTCGTTTTTGTCGACTTCGCCAACACTGTACAGATCACAGCCGGTTCCGACCTTGTGCTGAAGAGTCCACCCTATCCGATTGGGGTCTAGTTTTTTTGCCCACGGGCAGATCGCTTTTGCCGTGTTTTACTGTAGTCCGGGCGTATGAACCTTTGAGTCCATCTTTTGGCAGAAAGGACGGTTCCCAACTGGAGGAGTTCCATGCGTGTACCACAGAACCAACAATACTGACCGAGAGTGGCAGAGCCAGCAAGCACCGTATTGAAGGAGACAGAAAAAAGGTCGGTGAACATGTTGCACAAAAGGGAAAAATATTCTTCATCCATATCGTCAGTTGAATGGAGGGTGTAAAGTTAGCCAAGTTTGTGCATTTTCCACATGTCGTGTAATTACGTTGCGAATTCTATGACTTCCGCCAAATTTAAAATTTAAAATGACATTCACCAAGTACAGACATCGACACCAAATTTCAGGTTTTAGAAAGGGACTTGCAATTTTTGGCCAGCCGAGAAACACTGTGGGTTCTCCGATTGGGTCCAACGAAAAGTTTCCCCCATTGTACAGTAGAAACGTCGGATGGCTGTGCACAGTGTCTGCTGGGGAGACGGCTCTCCGAACCGGGGGACCTCGGTGCTAAACGTCGGGCGAAGCCGACAAATGTTATACACTCGGTGGCCAATCCATGCAACTCGGGTTTCAAGGTCGGGACTCGGGACTCGAGATGGGGTGTTCTGCACTGCACTTGCACTTGAAGCTAAAGGAAACTGTGGTTGATGATAAATGTAGAGGTTGGGAAAAAAAGGGCAACATAGAAAATAATCAGAACCACCCGACCCGAATCTCGCACACCAGGAACTCCTTTTGCATGGGTGACTGCTCAGCGTGTTTACTTCACAAGGGTGTTTCTTTCTCGGAATAATGGTGGACACACCAGGATTAGCAGCAAAACTGGGTTCCAGCACGTGGTGGTGCTTCATAGCAGCACCGTAGCATCACTGCTAGTTTCCACACGTCGTATTTTCGCAGTATCTAAGCCGAGAACTGACACTACTTCTAGTAGTAAACCAGCAGCTTCTGCATCAGAACGAAAGGCGCAACTTCTGAGATTTATCGGACTCCAATATACTCGCCGCAGGGGAGAAATTTCTCGGCGATTCGTTCCTTTGCTGGATATTAGTAGGAGCGACTCGAGAATTTCTTCGCGTGTTATTCGGATTGAAGGAAAACGTTGCGCGAAATCGTCAGTGCTGTCGTCTTGCGCGAAAATCGTCACGAGGTCGCGAAGCGGCTGTTCTCTACTGGGTTACACCCAAGTGTACTAGGCAGTTTTGGGGAATTTTGAGGCTCCAGTCACGGATACGTCCAGTTTTGGGGAATTTGGGGAATTTGCGGCGCAGTTCCAGCTCTCGTCGACACGTGGTCAAATCGTCGCCTCGTGCGTCAAGATTGCCTCGCGCCGCCAGCCATGGCCATCATGGACCGCGCACTGGCGCTTGCATTGTGGATTACCGCCCTTGTCGCCGCGCCCCTCGCGATGGTCGACGCGGTGACACTCGACCCTTCGCAAGGTGACAGGCCGCCTGCCGGCGCCGAGTTGACTTTTTAGTGACTCAAGAGAGCCTCAAGCTGAGGCTGAGGCTGAGGCTGCCTGGCGGCGCCGCCAGGCGTACCGTTGCTAGTAGTACCAACGGGCAGCACTGAAACTCTCCGAAGGTCTGATGAATACGGCGCGCTCGCTGCGGGCACGTGCGAGAGCCTGCGAAGAGTTGCGAGTAAGTGACAAAGTAGTCAATCTCTGTACTCGGAAACTTAGTCCTTCTCGAGTTAACACGTCCGAAGCCTCTCGGCGTAGTAGTCGTCGTTTGACTACACTAGGACACAACATACATCTCATGTGACTGCATGAATTCACCGCTACTTAGTACTAACCAGTACGTGTGTCATGCCTAAGTACTATACAGGTGATTGGTTGTTTTCAAGTAGTCTCGAGAACTTGAAATGATGCACGTGTCACCACTGTATCTTCCCACACTCCACGGCCTGCAGCTCTGGTCCTGAAGGACTCGGCGTGGGGGACGGCCCTAGCTGGTTGGAGTGACGCCAATCCTGACTGCAGCACCACTGCCGGCGTCACCTGCGACGGCAGCGGGATGATAACAACAATGTGAGATTTATCGAGCCGTGTTGGATATCTAGTCACTGATTGCGCCCAAATCGGCGATAGAGGGAGCCTCCCAAAATACCGGGCCCCCGTAGTATGTTAAATATACAAAGCATTTACTTGTTCCGGTGAAGTATATGCTTAGTATCAACATATGTTTGAACATTGCGGCAGCCTCAGCTTTTTCCCCTGAGGGAGAGTCTTCCCGTATGCTTGTACACCCAGACAGGGGATGAACTGCAAACCGAACTGCAAAGTGAACTGCAAACGTTTGAAAGGACAAGATGCCATCTAGAGGCAATACACTACGACCTTGTGCTGTGAAGGCGATGTGACAGTCTCTAGAGGCAGTTTCTTTCCTTGTCCTTTCCGTCTTCACACCATGTGATTTTTTCTCCCAACGATTTTCAGTGACATCTACGACACTCCAATCCCGGGCAGCATCCCTTCTAGCATCAGTGCGCTTGCAAAACTGCAACGCTTGTGAGTCACGGCCAAGTAAAGGAGTAAGACCATCCCGAGCCTGCAACACTTCTTGGCCCATCCCGAGCTTGAGCCTAGCTTGGGCCATCCTGAGCCTTGCTTGGGCCATCCTCAGCCTAGCTTGGGCCATCCTGAGCCTAGCTTGGGCCATCCTGAGCCTTTCTTGGGCCATCCTGAGCCTTGCTTGGGCCATCCTGAGCCTTGCTTGGGCCATCCTGAGCCTTGCTTGGGCCATCCTGAGCCTTGCTTGGGCCATCCTGAGCCTTTCTTGGGCCATCCTGAGCCTTGCTTGGGCCATCCTGAGCCTTTCTTGGGCCATCTTGGCCCGCCTCTCTTCTCCTATGCTCTTGTTTTTCTGCCCTTCTCCTTGATGTTGTTGACCATCCTCTCCTCTTTCCATCTTTGTTTTCTTTTGTATGCTCTCCTCTCATTTGTATCCATGCTCCTTTTGTTCGCGCCGTGTCTCGTCTTTGCTTATTCTTTCTCGCATTGACGACCCTCTTCTGTTTGTACACATACACACATCATATAATATGATCATATCAGATCTTTTTGGAAGACTCAGATTACCGGCTCCATTCCCAGTACCATTGGCGTGCTCACGGGCCTGACCACAATGTAAGGCGCATGCTTTGTCTACATATGTTCCCACCTTCTAAACCGACCTTCCCTCACCTGTCCATTATACTTGTCCCCTTTCTCTCCCCCCCCTCCCCCTCCCCCCCCCCCCTCCCCCCCCCCCCCCCCCCCCCCCCCCCCAACCACTCCCCACCCACCAAATACTTTTAAGACCCTCTCTTCGAGTTTCTGTTGCTTGGCTCACCGAATCCTGTTCCCTTGTGACGCCGAATTTTCTGTCTTCGCCTTGCTTATTCATTCACGACCGTTTGTCAAAGCCCATTGTTCCATCTCTCCCTCCCCTCCTCCCCTTCCCCCCTTGTTGTGTTCACGTGTTACTCTTGTCCTCCCTGATTGTAGCGTTCCCTTGTTGTGCTCCCCCTTGCATAGTTCCTTTCGTGTTATATTTGTCCTTCTTATCCTACCCCTCGTGTCCCAACCCATTTCTTGTTCCCGTTGCGAGAATGACTCATTATAGAGATGGCAAAACGCCTCGCCTCACTGTCACAAATAGGCTTAGAAGCGATGCATTAGTAATGAGCTTGAAGCTCTTTAAGTACATCCAAGAGGGGTAGGAAAAGGATGGGGAAGGGAATCGGGGGCAATCTCTAGGGATTGGGGGTAATCCCAAGGCAATCTCCAATTGGTGGGTTGGAGATTGGTTGGAGATTACATTTGGGTTTGGTTGGGATGTAGGTGTACACCCAACCAAACACAATGTGCAAACTACACTACTCTAGGATATAGAAAATACAAAGTACAAATTGTGAGATTGAAGACTAACACTAACACCCCCCCATAGGCGTCAATCGAACTCAGGGTAGAGAGGGTGGAGCACAGAGCCCCATGGCGCCAAGGAGACGGTGGTGGGGAACTTTCCCAAGGGGCTTGGTGAACAGATCAGCCAGGTTGCAGTCAGATGCAACGTATTCCACTTTCAACTGCTCTTGTTGGACAAGGTCACGGATGAAGAAGTGCCGGAGTTCAATGTGCTTGGTGCGGGTGTGATACACAGGGTCTTGAGAGATGTGGATGGTACTCTGGTTGTCACACCAGAGGGTAGGGGCGGACTGTGGGAAACCAAGTTCCTGGAGGAGGAAGGTGAGCCAACGAGCCTCCTGAGCAGCCATGGTGCCTGCGTAGAGCTCTGCCTCACATGAGGAGAGGGAGACTGCAGACGACCTGGTGGAGCGCCAACTGACAATTCCGCTCCCAAGGGTGAAGCAGTACCCCTGAGAGGAGCGTCGGTCGGTCTGGTCATCAGCCCAGGAGGAGTCGGTGTAACCCTCTAGGCGAGGAGGGGAGAGCCCACCGAGTGTGAGGACGTGAGACTTGGTGCCCTGAAGATAGCGCAACACCCGCTTGGCTGCCTTCCAGTGAAGGTCAGTGAAGCGTCCAGGGGCCACGTAGCGAGAGAGGACACTGACAGGATAGGCCAGGTCTGGCCGGGTGCACATCATGGCGTACATGAGGGACCCAACAAGCTCCGGGTATGGCTCAGAGCAGGCCTCTGGTGTGGGTACCGCTGGAGCTGTGAGGAGGTGTTGCAGCGGCAGCGGGGTGGCAACAGGTGTGCATAGCTCCATCTCAAATCGCTTGAGCACATTGTCGATGTAGAACTCCTGGGAGAGTGAGATGGTGCGAGCCTTGCGATCACGAGTGATCTCCATCCCCAGGTAGTGCTTGAGGTCACCGAGGTCTTTCATCTGGAGAGCCTTGCTTAGGGCTGCCTGGACTGAGGTCATCTGGGCCGAGTCCTTGGCCACGAGGATGAAATCATCCACGTAGACTAGGATGTAGAAGGGCTCAGAATGACGGCGGATGAAGAGAGTCGGGTCAGCAGTTGAAGGGTGGAAGTCCAGGGAGAGGAGGACTTCTTTCACCTTGTTGTGCCATTCGCGAGGGGCTTGCTTAAGGCCGTAGACGGGGCGATTCAGCTTCCAGACAGTGTTGGGAGGGAAATCTCCTGGGAAGCCTTCTGGTCTGTCCATGAACACTGTCTCCTTGAGACGTCCTTGTAGGAAGGCGGATGAGGCATCCATGGATTTGATCTCGAAGTCTTCTCGAGCTGCGACATCCATGAGCGTACGAATGGTGGGAGGTTTGGATGTGGGGGAGAAGGTTAGGAAGAAGTCGCGGTACTGCTGCTGGGTGAAGCCCTTGGCTACGTAGCGCGCTTTAAACACCGGTGCCTCGTCTGGGAGCTGTTTTACACGGAACAACCACTTGCCCCCGACGATGTTGACTCCTGGAGGTGGAGTCTCGTCGTCGAAGGAGTGGTTGCGGGTGAATGCTGCAATCTCCGCGTCCATGGCAGCACGCCATTTGGCAGAATGAGGGCCTGAGAGAGCCTCTTGGACGGTGAGAGGGATAGGGATGGTCGGGTTCTCCGCGAAGTTGAGGGAGGGTGAGCCAGTGATGTCGGGGAAGATGTGTGAGAGCTGAGGAAGGACTGCATGGAGATCACACAGTTCCTCATGCCTGTCTTCTAGAAGGGTAGAGGGCACATCCCCCCCAGCAGGAGGAGGCGGTGTGATCGCGGTGTATCGAAGAACCATCGCGAGTGGAAGAGTAGCGCGATGTGAGCGAGTGCCATGAGCCACCGGGGAAGAGGGTGGGGCTGGCGGGGTCGGAGAGGGTGACTTAGCAGGCTTGGGCGGGGGAAGGGGTCGCCGGCGGTACGTGATCAGCTCGGGCGACTGTGGGAGAGCGGGTTCCTCTGTGGTGGGGGGAGCCGGGGGAGGAGGTGGGGCCGGAGGGTGGGACCGCCGATGGTAGGTGATAGGTGCGCTCGGAGGGGGCGGCGCAGCGGGAAGTGGGGAAGGTGAGGGGGAGGGAGGAGCAGCTGCCGAAGACACCGGTGAGGCCGGGTCAGTGACCTCAGAGGGAGATGGTGCGATGGCAGGAGAGGGAGGAGGTGAGGGAGCAGGAGCAGGCGGGAGGTCGGGAGGCGCATCAAAGTCTGCCCACACGAGGGAGGGTGGATCAGGGAGAGGGTCCCGTCCCGAAGGGGAGTAGAATGGGCGGGTCTCATCAAAGACAACGTCACGGCTCCTGACCAACTGGTGAGTGGAGGGATTGAGGAAGAGGTAGTCAGGTGAGTCGGCGTTGTGCCCGAGGTAGATGCACGTCTGAGTCTTGGGACCGAGCTTGCCACCGGTATGCCGTCGAGCCTGAGGGTTGAGGAGGACATAGGCGGTGCATCCCCAAACGCGAAGAGAGCGAGCAGTGGGCGTTTTCCCGAGCCAGAGTGTGGTTGGAGTGGTGTCGGGAAGGTGCGGGTGGGGGTAAAGGTTGTAGAGGAGGGCAGCGTGGTAGAGAGCGTACCCCCAAAGAGAGTGAGGAGCGTTGGAGTGGCTGAGGAGGCACCGAGTGATCTGCACCAGGGTGTGGTTGCGGCTCTCAGCTATGCCGTTCTGTTGAGGGCTGTCAGGGAGGGTGAAGTTTTGCTGGATGCCTTCGGAGGAGCAGAAGGCTTTGAGCTTGTCGTTGCAGAACTCACCCCCCCCATCCGAGTGAAGGCGCTTGACCTTGCGGTCAAAAGTGGTCTGTGCCTGCTTGACCCACGCTATGATGACCTCGGGTGCCTCAGCCTTAGTGTGGAGGAGGTGAACAGAGACATAGCGGGAGTGGTCATCCACAATGATAAGGAAGTAGCGATAGCCACCTCGTGCGAGAACAGGGGCAGGGCCCCAGACGTCCATGTGCACGAGGTCCAGTGGTGCTGCAGCGATTGTGGGTGAGGCAGCATGGGGCTGTTGGCGCAGTTTGCTCTTGGTGCAATCAAGGCACGTGGGAGCTGGTGAGTCAGGTGGTGGGGGAAGTGCGGCTGGCAGGCCGAGGAGAAGTTTCTTGGAGGCCATGTCAGCAAGAGTGCGGAAATTTGGGTGCCCGAGCCGATGGTGGTAGAGGATGGTCGGGTTGGAGAGGGTGCGACATGAGCATGGTGTGATAGTGGCCTGTGCTTGGGTGGTTGACACCTGTGGGAGAGGGACGCGTAGCGTGTAGAGGCCGTTGCTGTTGAGGGTGTAGCGGGCCAGAGTTTTGTTGGTGCGTGGATCGATGATGTCGCAATAGTCCTCGTTCTCTGGGAAGATGGTGCGTAGCCCTGCCTCCTGAATTTCTGTTTGGGCAACTAGATTGTGACGCAGTGAAGGCACGCACATGCCAGTGACAGTGCCGGATGGGAAGGCGGGGCATGGGACTGTGGAGGTACCCTTGGCGAGGGTGGTGAAGCTTGAGTCAGCTCCTAAGAGAGGGATAGGTGTTGGGTAAGGTTTGAAGGAGAGGGTCTCCTTGAGCACGGTGTGAGTGGCCCCGCTATCGAGTGTGAACTCTATGTATTGTGGTGCGTGTGATGAGCCGATGTACTGTGAGGTAGCTTCATTAATCATGGCAGTGCCAGGGAACAACAGGTTGATACGCACATCAGCAGGAGCAGCATCACTAGCACTAGTCGAAGCGGGGTCCTGGACCTCAACTAGGTTGGCCTTGCGAGAGCGCATCCAATTCGGCGGCTTCTTGTCCACTCCGTGAATGGCGTACCATTCGTCGTCTTTCTTCTTGAAGCACGTGGCGAGGGGGTGGTTAGTGCCACCACACACTTGTCCCTTGCGATTCCCATACTTGACGACGTAGGGGCACGGAGGAAAGCGGTTGCGCTGGAAGGGCGCCGAGGCGAGAGCCGCTGCGACACTTGCTTGAGGCATGGGAGCGCGGATAGCGTACGCCTTGGCCTGAGCCGTGGAGTCTTTCTCGGCAGAGAGGAGTGCGGTGGAGACCTTAGCAAAGGTGAGGTCCTCTGCTGAGAGTGTGAGGAGCATCTTCCTCGTGACCTCATATGCCGAGGTGAGTCCAACAAGTAGGGCGGCTGCAGGGGCTTGCTCGGGGAAGACTATACCCAGCTCCTTGAGTTCGCCATGAATGGTCTGCACCTTGGCAATGTAATCGGCCATTCCCGAGCAGTCCTCAAGGCGGACCTGAAACATGCTAGGGATGAGAATGGCCACGCCGACCGCCGTCTTGTTCATGAACCGATCCTGAAGGTACTTCCAGATGGCGTTGGAGGTAGGGTAGTTATGGAACGTGTTGACAAGTTCGGGAGGGGTGGAGGCGATGAAGACGCTGATGATGGCAGCATCGGCCTTCTCCCATTTCCGGTACTTCTCAACAGCCTCCTCATACGCCCTCACGTCAGTATCACTTGGAGATTCGGTCGGCTCACGGGGAATAGTAGGCTGTTTCCCCTTGCCACGGTTGAGGAGGACGTCCTTGAGGTCAAGGCCCTGCACGTCACGGCTCAGGAGGTGCTTGTCAACTCCGTAGCTCCACGCCTTGAAGTTGGAGCTAGAGCCATCAGCTTCAAGGCGGAGCGGGGTGATGGGGTTCGCCATGGTGGAAGACGAGAGAGCCATGGTGGAGACCCCTTCTCGCGCGGAGCGCCGCTCTTAAGTCACCGATAGGACCGGGATAGCGAAAAATCGTCAATGTCGGCCGCGTCGGAATGTCACGTAGAAGGTTTTTTTTTTCTTTTTTTTTTTTTTTCCTTTTCAGGCCGCCAAAATTAGGTCGAATCGGCCGATTTCCGTAGATCTATCACACATCCCCCCACACACCACCCTCGGCTTCGCGGCTACACGGCTGCTCTGCTTCGCGGCTACACGGCTGCTCGGCTGCGCTGCTGCACCTGTTCAGCTGCGGGAAGGGGGAAGGGGTAGGAGTGCAGATGCGGGGCGACGGGCGGCAGCCCGACGTGAAGCTGCGGGGCGACGGGCGGCGGCCCGACGAGAAGCTGCAGGGCGACGGGCGGCAGCCCGACGAGAAGCTGCGAGGCGACGGGCGGCGGCCCGACGTGAAGCTGCGAGGCGACGGGCGGCGGCCCGACGAGAAGCTGCAGGGCGACGGGCGGCAGCCCGACGAGAAGCTGCGAGGCGACGGGCGGCGGCCCGACGTGAAGCTGCGAGGCGACGGGCGGCGGCCCGACGAGAAGCTGCAGGGCGACGGGCGGCGGCCCGACGAGAAGCTGCGGGGCGACGGGCGGCGGCCCGACGTGAAGCTGCGAGGCGACGGGCGGCGGCCCGACGAGAAGCTGCAGGGCGACGGGCGGCAGCCCGACGAGAAGCTGCAGGGCGACGGGCGGCGGCCCGACGAGGAGGAAAGCGAGCGTTAGGTTATAGCGCGGACGATGCGCTTACCAGATAAATTACCGTCGAAAGTGACGGGAAGGTGCAGCGGGAAAATTTCCGCCGACGAATGTCGCGAATCACCGGCGACGAGGTTGACGATGGCTTCGCCGAGGTTTGCGGGACGAGTATCCGCAGAGGTAAGAAGATCACGATCCGCGTATGCGGTTGAAGGGCTCTGATACCATGTCAGAAATAGGCTTAGAAGCGATGCATTAGTAATGAGCTTGAAGCTCTTTAAGTACATCCAAGAGGGGTAGGAAAAGGATGGGGAAGGGAATCGGGGGCAATCTCTAGGGATTGGGGGTAATCCCAAGGCAATCTCCAATTGGTGGGTTGGAGATTGGTTGGAGATTACATTTGGGTTTGGTTGGGATGTAGGTGTACACCCAACCAAACACAATGTGCAAACTACACTACTCTAGGATATAGAAAATACAAAGTACAAATTGTGAGATTGAAGACTAACACTAACACTCACCACTTCGCCTCGACATCTGATATTTTCTGTACACGTGACTTCCCGGAACAGTGATCCAGAACTTGCGTTAGCTCGTGTCGTTGCTCCTATGCATTGTTTGGTTTCATGAAAGCCCCAGTGTTTCCTTTTTCCATGGGATGCTGTGATATATGATATGGTTTTCACAGAGATATTTCCTATAACAAGCTCACTGGTTCAATACCCGCTGTGGCAATCAACAATCTTACAACCCTTTACAACCTGTGAGGCCTTGCTAGGTTGGGTGGGATGCCGTCCTCCAAAAATTTTCACCTTCTTCTTAATGCTTTTCCGTCCTATCGTCGTCATTTCCTATCTTTGTCATTTCTTGGAGGGGTATGATATGTCTTTCCTTGAATTGTCCTCCCCCTTGTATTTCTCGTTTCAGACAGTATTTGTCCCCTTAGATTTTCCTCACAGTTCATTGATTGTCCTTCCCCTTGTTTTCTTCGTTAATACGCCCCTTGTTCGCATTTCTGTCTTCCATCCGCGTTGAAAACCTCGCAGGTTTCTTGTCAACAATCAGCTCAATGGCTCCATTCCCGTCGAACTCCTTTCACATCCAGCCTTGCTCTATCTGTAAACCCTTCAGTCCCCTGACGTTTAACCATCACAGCTACATCTTGTCTAACCTGCTCTCAGGCATGCTTTCTTTATGTAGTGTGTGTGTGTGTGTGTGTGTGTGTGTGTGTGTGTGTGTGTGTGTGTGTCTGTGGGTTTATATGTATGCACCATTTTTGTTTTTTTTTTCATCTCGTGTGTGTGTGTTCTTTTGTTTCTTGTCTTGCCTGTCTCGTGTTCCTGTCACAGATATCTTGATGGAAACCAATTGAGTGGTTCGATTCCCACTCCAGTTGCACCATATGGTCATTTTCGGGACATGTAGGATTCCATATCCCTCATCTTTGCCACTCTCTTCTCTTCCACCACTTCTTCTTTTTGACGCTTCTCGTTTGTAAGACCTCGACATTTTAATGCTAGACTAGACTCATACCTGGCTATAGCCGCCCAAGAGGCCCTACTTTCTATTGTCACCTTTCTTTCTTCTGCTAGTTATCCTACCATAATGACGATTTTCGTTGACAACAACCAGACCTGAATCCACTCACTGCGGTGTGTGTTTGGCAAAAGGTAGGAGGGAATTGGCGAATCGGATTGCCTGCCGGCATCCTCACGGGGTAGTGCTTCAATTATGAAACAGCCCTCTATTCTTCTGTTTCACATTATTCTCTTCCTGATATTTGTGTGCGGATGGAACGAACACCTAGTAAAGCTGAAATATGTCTATTGTCGTTTGATTTCATCTGCGCACATTGTTCTCCTTTTACAGTTCACAGCATCCCCTGACATGTCAGTGCACGCTTCTCATGCCCATCTCATCCGTCATTTGTTCGATCCCCCATGCACATCTCTTCCTTATCATCTCAGATCACTTAATAACAATCAGCTCACAGGCTCAATCAATGAAAAGCTCAACCTGATTACCAGTTTAAGGCTACTGTAAGTTCTTAAGTTATCATGCCACTTTCTTTCCTTTTTATGCTGTCACCTGCTAGTATACTGTCACTCAACCTGATTACCACTTTATACTGCTGTCACACTTCTTTACCCTTCCAAGCACCTTCGGCTCCTCTCTTCATTGCAATATCCCCTCAAGACTTTTGTTTGTTTGTTTGTTTGTTTGTTTTTTTTTTCTGGAAAGCTAGCACTGCGGATGTATCCATACATGTGAACTTATTCAGGCAGAAAGCAGTACAATCCGCACGCTTCTCATGCCCATCTCATCCATCATTTGTTCGATCCCCCGTTCACATCTCGTCCTTATATCTCAGATCACTTAATAACAATAAGCTCACAGGCTCCATCCCTGGACAGCTCAACCTGATTACCACTTTACAAGAGCTGTAAGTTCTTGAATTTTCATTCCACTTTCCTTCATTTTTCTGCTGTCGCCTGCTAGTATACTGCCACACTTCTTTACCCTTCCAAGCACCTTCGGCTCCTCTCTTCATTCCAATATGCCCTAAAGACTTCTTTTCTGGAGAGATAGCACTGCGGATGTATCCATACATGTGAACTTATCCAGGCAGAAAGCAGTACAATCCGCAACCCTAACTGGAATGATTTGACCCCTGCCACTGGTTGTCCAGCAGCTAGTGTCCTACACGTAGTGCTTTCCATGTACTAATGTTATGATATTTTAGACAAATTATGTGAAGTCTGCTACTTCACGACTATGATGATTGATTTTTGCTTCTGCTTACACACAAATGATTTTTTTTTTTTTTTTTTGCACAGCGACAATGGTCTTCTTGCTGTACTAATCAGCTCCAGTGTCTCTTTCTCTCCCTTGCATGCTTCAATCAAACCATCACAGTTACATCTCGTCTAACCTGCTCACAGGCAGCATCCCTGAGGATTTCAGTGCCCTCGGGAAATTGTGGAAATTGTAAGATAAAGCCCTTTTCTCTCCTACTCATCCTCCTCCTCCTCCTCCTCCTCCTCCTCCTCCTCCTCCTCCTCCTCCTCCTCCTCCTCCTCCTCCTCCTCCTCCTCCTCCTCCTCCTCCTCCTCTTCTCACATACGCGTCCTTCTCTTCTCACCATCTTGCCATCATCCCCTCTGCTCTCCTCTCCCGTTCTTTGTGCATGGTTCACATCTCATTTTCCTGCTCAACTTACACTTATCCCCATTCGCTTCGCCAATATTACTTCCTTTCGTTTTTTTTTTGTATATTATTGTGGTCAGCTCTGCTTGCTTGCTACTGGCTCCTGTTAATTTTTCCCCCTCTAATTTCTCCACATCTTCTAACTGTGTGTATACCGGATAAGGCATTTTACCCTGTCTTCACACCTTTCATCTATGTGTGTAGATACTGTAAGTGTTGGGGTGTGGTTGCTCCTCCCACCAAAGTTCCGTTCCCTGCTCTTTCCCTTGCGATCTTCTATCCTCATTTTCCTCTTTCACAATTGCAGTGACGTCAGTCACAACCAGCTCACGGGCACCATCCCTGCTGCATTAAGCACTCTCAGCAGAAACCTGGACGAACTGTAAGACTGCATTAACTTAACACTGCGTCAGTGTGCCCATGAGGTGCCTGCCTGCGCTAAATGCTGTTTCTCCAGTTTTGAGGCACCTCAAAACTAGAACTAGTTTTGAGGCGCCGTAAAACTAGTACTCTCCAAAGCCTTGACGACCTAACTCAGTCAGCGTGCCCGTGAGGTGCCTCCGCTGCGCTAAATGCCGTTGCTCTGCTAGCCTACCTCTCTCCTTCCCGACCACCAGCTACCCCTCTTGTAGGCAGCGGGTGTACACCTCTCGCCAAACGGAGCCTTCTTTTCCCTTCTCCCCACAGCTTCATTCCACTCATCACCTCCCTTGGCGTGCCTCACTCACACTGTACTAGCTAGCTGTTGTTCTTTTGAGTCCACATAAGATATAATCCCTGACAAAGACATGTTTATGCACTGAATGCATATATATATATGTATGTATATATATATATATTTGTGTCCCGTGTATTCAGAATTTTTTTATGTATAGGAAAACATGATTTCTTCTGGACATGATAGTCAGTCTTTTGTAAAAGTCATGTCCTGTTAAGCTTCTTTGTCCTCCTCACCTCAGTTGTTTTTTGTGCATCCTACATATTTCTTGTCTTTTCCACTCCCCAATGTCCCTATGTTCCTCGACTCATCTGTCCACCTTCTCTCTAGTAGCATTGCGTCTGGCGGTTTCGTCAGTAGTTCAAGTAACTTATTCATTTGCAATTCAGTGCAGTTCACTGTCTACCGTTGCATCTTTCCATCCCTTGCATGTGTTTTGATTGCATGTATTTCCCTTGAATGTGTTTCCCTTGCTTGTGTTTCCCTCGCATGTGTTTCCGTTGCATGTGTTTCCCTTGCATGTGTTTCCCTTGCATGTGTTTCCCTTGCATGTGTTTCCCTTGCATGTGTTTCCCTCGCATGTATTTCCCCTGCATGTGTTTCCCTTGCATGTGTTTCCCTTGCATGTGTTTCCCTTGCATGTGTTTCCCTCGCATGTGTTTCCCTTGCATGTGTTTCCCTTCCATGTGTTTCCCTTGCATGTCTTTCCAATTCAGTATCCTCTCATACAACCAGCTCTCTGGCAGCATCCCCTCTGAATTCACTGCTCTATCACTGGGGAAAGTGTGAGAAACAAATGAACCAATCAGGTTGCAAGGTTAGGTGGTTTGAGAGTCAGTTATATGTTTGACGGGCATGCTCTCTGTGTATCTATGCCTTCATCTCTTTCTCTCTCTCTCTCTCTCTCTCTCTCTCTCTCTCCTCTCTCTCTCTCTCTCTCTCTCTCTCTCTCTCTCTCTCTCTCTCTCTCTCTCTCTCTCTCTCTCTCTCTCTCTCTCTCTCTCTCTCTCTCTCTCTCTCAAGCAGTCCTGTATTGATATGGTCCAGCAAGTACATGCGTGGCAGGTTTGCAGAAAGAAAGTCTAGGCATGGAGACAAACCGGTGGCTAGGCTAGCAAAGCACCAACAGACAACAACAAACCACCGAGAAACTAACATACTAACAACCAACAATCCTGCAAGGGCTAGTCGTTGGTCGTGCTTGTTAGTCCCTCCTTACGAGTGAAGACCCATCAAGCACCCCAGCCGAACCCCTCCCATTCCTGCCCACCCCTCTGCTGCTGACGCCGCCATGCCCCCACCGCTCTCTCTCTCTCTCTCTCTCTCTCTCTCTCTCTCTCCCTCTCTCTCTCTCTCTCTCTCTCTCTCTCTCTCTCTCTCTCTCTCTCTCTCTCTCTCTCTCTCTCTCTCTCTCAAGCGGTCCGTGTATTAGATCCGAGCAAGTACAGACATGCACAAAGGATATAGAGTCTAGGAGCAACAAGGCCTCTAACACTCCTATATCCTACTCACACCCGTGCTCCATCTAGGGGAGCTCCAGAACCGGCTCCAGGATGGCCAGGCAGTCCCCGAGGGACATGCCATCGCCCGGCATCTCCACAGGTGGGTTCTCCACCTGAGCTGCGAAGTTACACTTCGTCATGAAGGCCACGGACTGAGCCCGCTGCAACGCCACGGACCACCGCTGGCGGAACTGGTGTAGCAGCTTCGTTGCCTGGTAAGATGAGGGGGCCGCATTGAAGTGCATGCGGGCGGCAGTGTCGGCTAACAGCTTGAGAAATTGGGGGACTTCCGCGCAAGGGCAGCCGTAAGTGTCGACAGCCAGAGGGAAGAAGCCGACCCACGAGGCCGTTGAGCCCTCGTAATCGGAAATCTTCTTCTCTGCCGCCTCACGGGCCGCCCATCCCGTGCCCTTCACCGCGTCTGGGTCACGAATGCTAATGGGATCCGTGATGGTCACGTCCCCAATCCACACAGCACCTGAGGTCTTGTCTCTGATTGCTATGTCGGCCTTCTTTCTCGTGACGCGGCAGAATGCCGTCGTCTCACTGTGAGTCATGAAATCGGCGTCGCTGGCCATCCGCAAGCATTCATCGCGCAGCTCATTGTGAGTGTTAGTCCTCCCCTTCCCTGTGTCACAGCGCAGGAGATGATTGGGCAGCCGCCTGTCCGGGATTAACACCTCCTTGCGGCAGTCACAGGCACCTGGAGCCGAGGATGAAAGCCCCATCCGAAACTCCAGCGCGTGAGCAAAGTGGGCCGGGGCAAGGCGCAGCGATTTGTTGAAGGGTACCGCGTTGAGCCAGTCTCCCGCCCCGTACTTCGAGAGCGAGAGCATGCGCTGCGTGTGCCCGCTAAGTGGGTTCAGCGGCATGATGCGTGTGGCTTGCACCTGCTCGGCGTAGCGCTGGCCATGCACCGCAATAGCCAGTCCCTGCTGCAGTTTGACACCCTTGGGATCAGCCCGGTCACTCTGCAGCAGCTCCTTCCCCTCGTCCGGCAACGACTCCTCGCACCGCTCCAGCCAGTCAAATAGGGGGGTCGTGTGATAAAGGGCCCCATCACGCGTCCGTACTTCCGCCAGCGCGCCTATTGCCGCCTCGTCAATAGAGGTGAGCAGGTGCTGGGCTTGGGTGTAGCGTGCAAGGAAGCCCACGCGTCCTTCCACCGAGGGGTCTGTTAGCCCCAAGCCTCCAAGCGAGATCGGAAGCGAGGCCTGTGCCCAGGTACGTGAAATCTCGTCCTCTCCCCGTGGGTGGCGGATGCCACAAGCCGTCAGCAGCGTCTTGAAGAGGCGCTTGCCCCAGTCGGACCATTCCTCGACTGGTAAGGCAGAGAGGGGTGTGGTGCGGGCAACATAAGAGACCCGTCGTGAGATGCACCGCGTGAGCAGAAGAGATGCCAACTGCGGCTCCATCCGCGCGATTAAGGGGAGGGGCCCGCCCATGTTCTCGAGGCTGTCACGCAGGAATGCCGCCGTTGCATCGGTGCCACCAATGAAGCTGCCGAACACCTTCACTCCATCATCCACGAAAGGTACGCCCTCCGGAAGCACCGCTCCACGCCGACCTGTCTGTGCCCACTCCGCGCATTTGTCTGGATTGTGGCGCAGCCCAATCACCCCAAGGTTCCCCGTGAAATCGTCAAACTCCGCCGCACACGAAGCTGGTTCTCCAAGAAAGGTAACGTCGTCCGCGTATGCTAGGCAAACCACGGACGGGAAGGTAAGAGCCGTCTTCGCCAGAGCAGGGTGTATAGCAGCAGCAAATAGCAGTGGACCGAGTGGGTCTCCCTGCCGCACTCCGGTCTCGCTCAGGAGGGGTGGGTGTGAGAAGCCAGCGTCTAGACAGAGGGCCGAGGGAAGGCCATACAACAGTTTGACTAGCGGCAGAAGGGAAGCGAGGGGGGATCCGCGTAGCGACGCGACAATGGCCGCCCTATTCACGCTGTTGAATGCGTTCGCTAGGTCTGCTTGCAGGACCAAGGCCCCTGTGTTCAATGCAAGGTAAGTGCGTGTGATGTGGATGATTGCCTCTGCCCCGCCAGGGACTGCAACGCCAAACTGATGTGGGAGGAAGAATTCTCTAGCTGCTCCCGCGGTCAAGGTAAGCGCCGTTTTAGCTGCGAGGCGAGTGATGCTCTCGCCAATAGCTATCGGTCGCATCCCTCCATCAGGCTTGGTGAGAGCAATCAACCGCGAGGCAGTGAGGAGCTCGGCTACTGCTGGAGGTAGCCTTCCTGTAAGTATCGTATTAACGAGAGCGTGGAGATGTTTTCCGACTGAGTGTTTGACCAGCGCAGCATCGCGTAAGTGTTCAAAAGTTGTCCCTGAGGGGCCCGCCCCCACTCCCATTTCGCAGCTTCCTAGCACCTTCGAGAATACTGCGAAGGGTGCAGACAGTTCGGGGTCGGGTGTAGGGAAGCTCCAGTCCGGTGGGGAGGTGCGCGCTGGTGGGTGCTTGGCGCCCTGGGCCTCCAGCACGCTTTGGGATGGAGTGCTGACTGGTGTAGCTTCAAGAGCTAACACAGCCCGTCGTAAGCTGCCACGACGCGCCAGCCCTTCCGCCCGAGTAGGGATGAGCAATGTACCGAACGCCTGTTCGGTTCGTCTCGAACCTGTTCGAGACGAACCGAACAGGCATTTTTTTTGGCCAAAATTGTTCGGCTCGAACATGTTCGGTGTTCGGCCGAACATGTTCGACGTTCGGCAATGCCTCCCAGGGCCCAAATTTCGAACACGAACACGTTCGTGTTCGAAATTTGGGCTACGCGAACCCAAAGGGTTCGCGTCAAATTTGGCCGCGACCAAATTTAGGTCGCAGCCGATTTCAGTTTGAGCTCTTTCGTAGAGCTCAAACTCAAAGCGTTTTTACAGCTAAGCCTTACCTACCTCACACTACCGCCCTAGGGTTGCTATTGTGCAAGCTACCACCCACCGAGACTATTAATCTTCTACACGCACGGACGTTACAGTTTGGTTAGGGTTTCCACAGGCTTGTGTGTTCAGAGTTACTCGCCCACAAGTACGGCGTTGTCAACGCCGTAAGATTCCGATCATCACAAGTCGCTCATCCCTAATCAGCATTACGCTTACCACTGTACGGTAGTGCACAAGGACCACGGTAGGGGATTTCGCCGCGGACCGTGCCTTCACAAGGAACGCGACCGTTAGTTCCCGACCGTTTTAGGGTTATGGCCTCCGGACAGGGTGGATCCGTAGGGCGAAGTGCAGGCAACTCGCGCGGGGCCGCACCCGGTGCGCCACCACGACCTATGCAGGGGCGCGTAGGCGAAGGACCTGGAGGCTCTGGCGCTTGCTTCGTAGGGGGATTCCTTAACATCCCAGCGCCGACATCGCGGCAATCTTACCGTTTCAGCGGTCAGAGACCCCCTACTGCAGGGCAGACAGAGGAGGAGAGTGGTAGTGAGGAGGAGGATGAGGAGGAAGAGGAGGACGGCGAGGGCGAGGAGGAGGAGGATGGGGAGGGAAGCGGGGATGACAGTGAGGCCGCGTGGCTCCCCGACACGCATGGCGGTGGGGACGGGGGAGATGACGACGAGGATTACGAGATGGATGGTTTGGAGCCAGAGGGGCCGGTGGAGGAGGTGGCCGAGGGTGGTGGAGAGGCAGCGGCAGAGGCGGTCTCACAGCATGTCCGTGAAGGGGCTGGGAGCGTGGGGGTTAAAGTGGGGAGAAAGGCGGCGACCATCAAGCCCCTAAGGCTGCCAAGGCGAGCAACAAAGAGGGTTAACAAGTTGCGGGAGCGGGCGTACCCCTGCACATTCACAGGAGAGCCGTTGGGCGAGGGAGTGATTGCACCGGAGTTCCTAGATGAGGAGGGTGGGTCTGAGAGTAGCAAGGGTTCGGCCAAGCGGGGTAGCAGGGCACCGGGGTGGCAAGTACAGATGTTTGGTCCGTTAGACGCAGACGAGAAGCGGCAGTGCAAGATTTGCACTGACAAGATTTCGTGGAAGCAGTCCACGACCACCCCCGGTGAACGGCACTTCGCGAGCCACCACACAGCGCACATGCTCGTGTGGTATCACCGTTTCCACACCCCGTCCATCCAGTTGCCAGGGGAGACGTTTCCACGTGGGGGCTACATGGTTGTGCCAGATGGCTACGTCGAAGACTGGCCGCATGCCCAGACTTGGCCGCATCTCGCGACCAAGACAGGGAAGGCAGGTGGGGGTGGAGATAAGAAGGGGGGCGGAATTGAGCGGTACATGACAACGAAGCTGACCTCGGTCGAGCTTCGCCAGGCGATCGCGAAGCTAGTGGTCACCTGAGACCTCCCCTTCCGCATCGTGGAGGCCGAGGCTGTAAGTGCCCCTACACATGCCCGACCCGAGGGTGATTTTGTTGTGGGGTGGGGTGTTTCATTGTGGCTTTCCGCTCATTGTGCAAAATTCGTAGCGTGTGTTTGCATGTGTCACACTCACACCCGTCACCTTGACGTTGACATCCCTCTCCCGCCTTGTCTCCTCCCTCTTCCAGTTTCGGGAGCTGCTGATCCTGCTAAATCGCAACTGTGCGCGGAAGAACTTCATCCCCTCGCGATGGACGGTCTCCCGCGACACCGTGGTCTATGCGGCGGCCGCTCTCCAGTCCGCCATTGCGGAGATGCTGGCGAAGGAGGGGGAGCTGGGGTGCAAGGTGTCCTTTACCATCGACATCTGGACCGCGCCCAACAACAAGGCCTGGATAGTGGCGACCGGGCACTGGATTGACGAGTCCTTCCAGCTGCGCACCATGATTCTTGAGTTCCGCGAGATGCTCGGGCGGCATGGGGGCAAGGATATTGCCAAGGTGGTTGAGGAGACGGTGGTGCAGTGGAAGTTGGAGGGGCGTTGTCTTGGCCTGACGTCAGACAACGCCTCCAGCAACATTGCTGCCTTCAGGCGGCTGTCGGAGGAGGGTTGTGGCATGTGCTTCTTCAGCGTGCGCATGCACTTCCGGTAAGTGTGAGAGGGGGTGTGTGTGGGCGGGCATGGCGGGGGAAGTGTGAGATGCGTGGTCGGATGGCCTTGTCGTGAGCTCCATGGTGTGTGGGGCATCGTGTGCTTTTGTGGCTCGCTATGACCATACGTTCTCACCCTTCCCCTTATGTGCGTCTTTCATGGCGGTCTTCGCGTGCAGGTGCCTGGCACATGTGATCAACCTTGCTGTGAAGGCCGCTCTCGCAGTGGCCGCCATACGCAAGCTGCTGAAGATTCTGAGGGAGATGGCGTCGTGGGTGGGCTTCTCGCCGCAGCGCTCAGGAAAGTTCCTGGGCCTACAACGGACCTTGAACGCGCAGGCCAACCCCGCCAAACCGAAGCCGGCGCTCAAGCTGGTGCAGGACTCTCCAACGCGCTGGAACTCGACACACGACATGGTCGAGCGTGCAGTGGTTCTGCAGGAACCCATCGACGTCTTCTTCATGCAGACCCAGGTGTGTGTGAGGGGTGTGTGTTGGAGGGTGGTGATGTCTGTGTGCTGGGGAAGGCCGGGGTGTTGTGGCTTAGCATTGTCCAGTCTGGTGGTCATGTTTGATGTATGTTATGCGATGACAAGCCACCCTCACTAACCCCAGTTTTAAACCTACCACCTGCCTATCCCCCCCCCCCTCCGAACAGGGCCTGTCAGCGACCGACAAGAAGAAGGTCGAGAGAATGCGCCTATCTGACGCAGACTGGGAGACTCTGCATGCAGTCAAGACCTTCCTCAGCCCATTCGCCAAAGTCTCGAAGGCAGCGGAGGGGGCGGCGTACCCTACAGTGTCGATGGTGGTGCCGTACTACAACGGCCTGATCGACGCTTTGGAGGCGCGCCTTGCGAGGGGCCCATCGGCTACCTTGAAGCCGATGATCGAGGCGGCGCTGGGGATGCTGAAGAAGTATGCGTACATGTCCAGCAACGAGCTATGGATCGCCACCTTCTTGGACCCGTCCATGAAGGCGGCGTGGTTCGATGACGAGCATTGGGAGACGCAGCATCCCGAGACCGAGCGGAGGGTGAGGCCGCGTCCCACATCCAGCGAGGTGGTCCAGCTGGTACGCGACCGCGTGGCCGAGTACCAGGCCCGGGCTGCAGAGCTTGCTCCCCGGCAGCGCCCACTTGCCCCCGTGACGGAGGAGGAGGGGGATGAGGCGGATGACGACGAAGACGCGCAGTTTCTCCCCAGTCGACGACGACTTGCAGCGCGGCTTTCAGCGAGCCAGGAGGCAGGGAGGGGCGGGATGCTGCTGGATGACGAGGTTAGCAGGTACCTCTCGGAGAGGGTTCGGTCTGACGTGACGGCCTTGGAGTACTGGCGCAACGCCACCAACTTGCAGACACTGAGGCGCATGGCCCGGGATTACCTCGCGATCCCTGCCACGTCCGCCTCGAGCGAGCACGTGTTTTCCCTTGGCCGCAACCTCATCTCCTGGAAGAGGCATCGACTGGCGTCCGAGAGAACGCGAGCTGTCATGGTTCTCCGATCCTGGTACACCTCACACCCCGGCCAGAGGATAGGCGAGGGCCGCCGACAGCGAGGCGTCGCACCTCCCGAGTTCGCCATCGAGGGCGAGGGAGAGGAGGAGGAGGACGACGAGGAGGAGGAGGATGGGGAGGAGGAGGAGGGGGGGGAGGGTGCGGCGGCAGCTGGCGACACAGGAGGCTGGATGGAGCCTGCTGTTGGTAGCAGCAGTGGCGGCGTTGCGTAGGGGGTGCAATTTATTCATGTGTTTATTGTGACCATAAACATGCTGGTGTTTGTAGTCCTAGGTAGGTTTCTGGAACACGTATATACAATGCAGGACTGGATATATCATTCTGGCCCCCCCCGATCCCTTTCTAACAGGTGTGACTATAGCGAATCAGCTCACAGCCGAACACGAACATGTTCGGCCCGAACATGTTCGTGTTCGGCTGTATGTACAAAATGTTCGGTGAAGCCCGAATTCGTTCGCCGAGCCGAACAGTGTTCGGTTCGGGTGTTCGAGATGTTCGACAGAGGGCGAACCCAAACCTGTTCGAGTTCGCCCTCTGCTCATCCCTACGCCCGAGCGATGACTCCAATGTCATCGGGCTGGTGTCTGGGTGGCTGGGGCCACGAGAGGGAGTCCACTGTATCAGTGTACAATTTGTCCCATTGCCCAGACAGAAACTGACGAAGGCGGGCCTCCACAGCCTTCCAGTCTGGCCGCCGTGGAGACATCTGGCGGAGAGTCAAACGTGCGACAAACAGCAACACCGTCCATGCAGAATCCGAATCTGGATTTTCCGCCAATCGCAGAAGAGGTACAAGCAGTGCTGTGGCGAAGAGTTTGCGTGGGTCTGAGGGGAGGTGGCGGGAGAGGGGCGTGGCGAGGCGAGAGTCGCGCAATTTCGCTAAATCCCAGGTGGTCACAATGGCGAAGAGGGCGTCATCCCTGGCGAGAGATTCTGGGGATCTTTCTTGGGGGGGGGTTGAGTTTGAGTGTGGTTACCACCTGGGGCAGAGGGTGGAGCGGTTTGTGCAGGGGTTGAAAAGTTGGAAATCGTGGCTGGGGGTGGTGGTGTAGCAAAAACGCCCGTCGCGGCGCGGGTTGGTGTTGGGGGACCCCTTCTCCCTATGGACCGCGGAGCCGTGCCACCTCCCCCAGTGTGGGATGGTGTAGCCCTTCCTGCTCTAACTGGAGTCTGGTGTTGTGCCTCGTCCACGGACTCTGAGCTCGAAGTAGAGTCCGTCGATTCAGCAGCTACAAAGCTGCTGTCCGAAGTACTGCATTCAGCATCCTCATTCATTAAAGCCCGCCTTCCCGCCTGCTGGTAAGCGTTCTCTGGCCCGCCTCCGCGGGCTCGCCCTCTGCTGCCCGCTGCTCTCCCCCCTCGTCCAGCAGGAATTGGCCCCGTTCGCCCCTCGTCCGCGTGTGGCGCGGAATCCTCCCCTCGCCTTGATGGAGACGACTGCTGCTCCCGGCCGCGACTGTACCGCGGAGAGCGAGCCTGCCCCGCGCCCACTTCCTCTTGCGCGACCTGCCGCGAGCTTCCCCGTCGCTCTGATGTGTGCGGATGAACAGATCCACCGCCGTTTCGAGGAGCAGCGGCGCGGACTGCCGCGGTCCCTGTCCCACAAAGATCGGGCCCTCGAGGGACCCGTCGCGCGCTCCGGCGCGGAGGCAGCGCGGCGCACCGCGGCGCCGCTCGTCCGTGGCGCGCGAGGAAGGGCGGGCGATCCGCCGCAATGATCGCCGTGAAAAATCTCCGTCGCCCCGTCCGCCGCGTTCGCAGCGTTCGCCTCGCTCGCCTCGTTCGCCTCGACCCGAGGCATCGCGGAGCCAGTCTCGAGATCGCCGGACGCGCCGCCACCAGTCTCCCGCTCGCCGTTCGATCCGTCAGCGATCTCCTCATCGTCCCGCCTCTCGTCACCAGTCTCCCGCGGCGCATTCATCGCGGCCGTCAAAGCGCCAGCGGCTTCACTCTCCTCGTCGCAGGGGCCGGTCCCCCGGGCGCAGCCGCCAGCGCGTGCAATCGCCCGTGCGGTTGAATGCGAGTGGGCACCATGGGCGCCGTGGAGGCTATGGCCGTGGCGGAGCGGCGCCGCGGGCCCCGTCCGCGATGGAGCGCGTTCTCCAGCGGCTGGACGGCGTGGAGGAAGCCATCCATCGTACGAAGGCGGAATCGTCGTCTCGTCCCGCGCGTCCACCTGCCCCTGCTGTTCCTCTTGCTGCCCTCCTGCCGCATGATCCCGAGGGGTCTCTTGTGCGTCCTGGGCGTCCGCTGCCTGCTGGGGCTGGTTTCGTGGGTGCTGGTGGCGGGGACCCGTGGTCACCGTTCGTTCCGCCACGTCCTGTGCCTCCGCCTCGGGATTTGGCGGTGTCTTCGCGCCGAGCTCGTGCAACCGCGATGCTGCCCCTGAAGAAAGAAGTGCCCACGGCGACCGTGGCGCACTTGTGGGCGCTTGCGGAGAGCCTACAGAGCCTCGAGCAGATTCTCCTGGAGTCGCACGGCTCCATGTCGTTGACCCCACCGAGCACGTTCTCTCAGCTTCCGCGAGCAAGGTGTCATGCGGCGGCGTCAACACTATTTGCGTACGTACCGCCACTGCAGGTAGCGCCCTCGCCGGGAGTAGTCTCGGCCACCTTGCTGGCTGAGAGGGCCCTGGATCTGAAGACGATTGTAGGAGAGCGTGGAACTCCTGTTGACGTTGTCGGCGCCACCGCGTCAGTGGTCCGCTCGATGTGGCTGACCGCGCGCGAAACGCTAGGTGAGCTTGAGGCGGACTGCATGTAGGCGCCCCCCTTGTCCGTGTGTAAACACGCTCCATGCAGGGATATCTAGATGCCCATTGATGTCGCGGTTGTGCTTGTTGTCATGTTGAGTGTCTTGTTCGTTGAGCGCTTGTCGTCCCTGCGCCGTGAGCGCCGGCGCGAGCGCCGGAAAAACGTGAAAGAACCAGCCGAATAATGAACTAGATCTCTGGCCAAGAGGCCATTATATAGGTGGGGAAGGGAAAGAGGCTAAGGGGGGAAGGGAAAGGGGCTAAGTCACCCGTGCTATCCCGCTCTCTCTCTCTCTCTCTCTCTCTCCCTCTCTCTCTCTCTCTCTCTCTCCCTCTCTCTCTCTCTCTCTCTCTCTCTCTCTCTCTCTCTCTCTCTCTCTCTCTCTCTCCAATGGCCCTTTCATTGATAATCGTGGAGTACACACATGCAAGGTATTGGTATGGCACGCAACAGTCGTCACAAATCTAAGCCTCCTACTCATCTTGCAACGCATGAGCACGCTGCGGTGCACTGCACTCTATCCCATTCTCCTATCCCGCTACCACCATCCCCCGTACCATCCCCTGTACCCTCCCTTGCACCCCTGCTGCTCATAGGAACTTGGCCAGCAATGCGTTATCAGACTCCACCCCATCCCCTGTACCACCCCCTGTCCTGTGCCCTCCCCTGCACCCATAGGAACTTGGCCAGAAATGCGTTATCAGACTCCATCCCATCAGAGCTCAGTACCTTAACCAAGCTCACCTACCTGTAAGCCTTCTTGGAACAAAGCTACCGCTCAGGTTCCTTAACCAAGGAATTCTAGCCAGACACCCTAACCACTCTCTCTCCTCATAGCCCTGTCCTCTCTCTCTCTCATCTTTCTGCTCTCTTTGAGGCAGGGATCTGAGGCAGAACCAGCTGACGGGGACTTTCCCAGAAAGCCTCTCCGAACTGACAAAGCTCCAAGAGCTGTAAGGCGAACATTGAGGTGACTTTTGAGGCGCCGCAAAAGAGGTAACTTTTGGGGCGCCACAGAAAATCACCTCAAATCTCCAAGAGCTGTCGAAAGAATCCTCATGCTTCCAGAAACCCCATGCGCAGTGGGATGGCACTGGGGATGATTTGTAGGAGGCAGACATAACATGCATGCACAGATGATTGGCTGATGCTGGGTACAACGGCCAACCGGAAAAAGTCAATAGTTTATGGCCATGCACTATGCACACACATTAACGATCAACCATAGGCAGGCATTCACATCAATGGTCAACCATATTCATGCATTCACATCACATCAACGTTCAACCATGGCACAGAAACGGATGATGCACATGGCGTTCATTCACCATGCCTGCCATTCACCACCCTTCCGTGCCTATCAACCACCATGGCCGTCCTTTATGTGCAGGTGGCTTGAAAACAATCAGCTCACTCAATCGCTTCCGTCTGCAATTGGCAACCTTGCCAATCTTAGGAATATGTGAGTGGTGCTTGTTAGGTGTGTAAGGTAAGCATATGTGAACCGAATGGTGACAAAGGAACATGAGGAAGGAACCCGAACCTCGTAGGGTAAATCCATATTCATTCTGGTCTCCACTAGTATAATGCTGTCTCCTCTCCTCTCCTCTCCTCGCCTCTATTCTCCTCTCCTCTCCTCTCCTCTCCTCTCCTCTCCTCTCCTCTCCTCTCCTCTCCCCTCCTCTCCTCTCCTCTCCTCTCCTCTCCTCTCCTCTCCTCAACTTATCTGCTCTCCTCTCATCTTTCCATTTCGCCTCAATCTCATCCTCTTCCCTCTCCTCCCCTCTCCTCTCCCCTCCCTCTCCTCTCCCCTCGTCCATGTGTGCATGCACACGTGCTCGCCTAATGACATGTCTCCACCATGCCTCCATGCCTCCACCGCGATGGCCCTAAGATCACTGGCCAACAACAATCTCTATGGACGCATCCCAGACTCAGTCACCTCGCTCACAAAGCTCATCACGTAGTAAGATATGCTCGCTTTGCGACGTCTCAAAATACCAGACACAGTCGCCTTGCTCACAAACCTCATGAATTAGTAAGATATGCTCGCTTTGCGACGCCTCAAAATACCAGACGCAGTCGCCTTGCTCACAAACCTCATGACTTAGTAAGATATGCTCGCTTTGCGACGTCTCAAAATACTAGACACAGTCGCCTTGCTCACAAACCTCATGAATTAGTAAGATATGCTCGCTTTGCGACGCCTCAAAATACCAGACGCAGTCACCTTGCTCACAAACCTCATGACTTAGTATGATATGCTCGCTTTGCGACGTCTCAAAATACCAGACGCAGTCGCCTCGCTCACAAACCTCAAAATATAGTAAGATATGCTCGCTCGTTCACTCGTTCACGTACATGCGCCGGCAGGCACTCGCATGGCTGTTTCTCTTTCAGGTGAGTACACTCGTCTGCTCAAAACACACTTCCTAGGCAAGTTCTGTCATGTCAATCCTTGCGTGCCTCACACCAGATGGCGTTATTGCTTCTGTCCTTATTCTGTCCCCATTCTGTCCCCATTTTGCCCACTGACACAGCTGACGTGATTCCTCCTTGCTTCACCCCTGGCCTCCCACCCCTCCCCTGTCCTCATATCTAGCAACAGCCGCACATAGTATCTGTCTCTTTCAGGTGCTCTTGTCCTTGTCGCTTTCAGGCTCTCCAAAATGACTAACGTGCGCTCTGCCACTGTCCTCCCACCGTTGCTCCACCCCCACAGCGACCTGTCTCACAACTACTTCACAGGCGGCCTTGTGAAGCCAGCTAACGTGCTGGCTGTGCTTTCATACAACTACCTCTCGGGCACTCTGCCTGCAAAGCCAACCGACTTGCTGGATTCAAACTGCTTCAAACTGGCCGCAGGAGAAACAGAGCCGGTGCAACGCACTCAGTCAGCGTGCCGTGCGTTTTGCGGCATCTCGATGGGTTCTGCCGCGGGGGGTTGCAGCGGCCATGGCGTGCTGTGCTACCCCGACGGGCCAAACTTGGTGCCTACCTGCGTGTGTGAAGCAGGGTTCTACACGTTTCGAAGGACGTATTGCCTTGCCGAAGGTAATTTCGGTCATGGCTGAGTGGAGAGACACGTTAATGTGCTCCCAAACAGGGTCTTTACTTCGATGTTTTGTCTCCCCACACTCAACAAATCTTCATGATTCATTTAACACTTTACATGAACCTACACTTCACCCTACCCAACCTTCAGCCTGGCTCATCCCCCCAACATATCTTCCTCCTCTGTTTTCGTCTTCCTTTGTTTTCTTCTTCCCACCCCTTTCAACTTGGTTTCAGAATCGGTGCTTGCTGCTCCACTTGAAAAGGCAATTCTCCCACCGTCAACGGTGCTGACGGCAGGTTTGAAAGCAGAAGCCAAAGGACTGTTCACTACCGAGCGAGTGCCTCTCTTTGTATACCAGAATGGACAGCAGGACCCAGGCTGCGGGTTCGAGCTGGCCTTCAGTGTCAACTTCACCTTCGTCCTCTCGCCCAAAGCCAATGCCGCTTCCAACGGCTTTGCCTTTGTCGTTTCAGCGATCAACACAGTGGGGACCAATGTTGGAGTGGGGTTCGGTGGGATGGACAACCGAAGCATGGCGATCGAGTTTGACGTGCTCCAGAACAAGCCGCACGGATCCACACGTAGGGTTGAATATCAATGGTCAGGACATATCAATCGCTGCTGTGAAGTCCCCGTTCCTACTGACCAACAAGAAGCCATACACGGCATGGGTGGACTATGTGCCTGGGGACCCCGGCACCATCCAGGTGTTCCTGGCAACAACAGCAGTGAAACCAGCAAAGCCGCTGCTAGACAGGCGGCTGTCTCTGTGCGCTGTGCTGCAGCCAGGGCCGCCGCAGGGAGAGGGGATGCCAGAGCAGCCGCGGGCGTTCTACTTTGGCTTCGTGGCGTCCACCACTGTGAAGCCGTTCATGATTCAAGCCATTACAAGCTCTTACCTGCGCACAGGTGAGTGCCATCCCCACCTCTTACCTGCGCACAGGTTGTTGGAAATGGACACTGGAATGGCCCAAAGTGGTCTTCCCAAGGGCTACAGGTGTCGTCCTGGGAGGGTATGGGTGCGCTGACCCACCAAGTAAACATGCCCTTTTAGCCCAGGCGTGTTACATTTTCGATATTTTCCAAACGAACCGGACCGTCAGAACGGTTTGAAGGGGTTTATTTATGGGACGCTTTGTTCATGTGGGCTTCAATACGTTTTAGAGTGGTAATTGCCTGAATTTTCCGAAATTTTGAAAATGTAACACGTCCTTAGCCCAGTTGGTTAGCGAATTGGACATGGTGGAGAAGTGGGGTAGACCCGGGTTTGATTCCAGTGAAGGGAGTGTTGGAAATGGACATTGGAATGGCCCAACGTGGCCTCCCAAGGGCTACAGGTGCCCTCCTGGGAGGGTATGGGTGCGCTGACCCACCAAGTAAACATGCCCTTTTAGCCCAGTTGGTTAGCGAACTAGACACATGTGAGTGCCATCCCCACCTCGGCCCTGTGCACTGGTGGGTGCGGAAGCCCATAGCTCCCTCCCTCCTTCAAATGTATGATTAGCTCTTCCCTTCGCACAGAAGCGGAAGCTGGCTGCCTCTTTGGACCCAATGATGGGCCCTCACTCCCTAATCGACCTTGCGCATGGATGCCTTGTCCGGCCGTTCTCATTCTCACACACTACCAGTGCGTTGCTCCTACATTCCAACCGCTACTTTCTGCCTTCTTTTCTCTTCATCCTTGCCTGCTTCCCCTTTGGCAGATGCCCCCCCTGCGAGGGGTCCAGTCATCATCATTCCAGGGAAGTCATTTTTAAGGCCCCTCAAAACCTGCCTTTCTCTTCCCTTTTATTCTTGCGTGCTTCTTCCTTGGCAGATGCGCCTCCTGCGCAGGGTCCCGTCAACATCACTCCAGGCAAGCTATTTTTGAGGCACCTCACGACTTGCTTTCTCTTCGCCTTCTTTCTTGCCTGCTTCCCCTTTGGCAGATGCACCTCCTGCGAGGGGTCCAGTCAACATCACTCCAGGCAAGTCATTGCACGCCTCTTGTGAACACAATTTAGCTTACGATACCAGCTCCGCACCTGATCGGATCATTGTAACAGTTACCTGAAAACATATCTGATGGATTTTCTGCCGCTTCACCTTCCCAAACCCTCAACTTGTTCTCCCCGCCCTGTCGTCCCTCTCCCCTGACCCTCTCCAACTCTCCACACCTATTCTCACTCACTACAGCCTACGGTTTAGACGTGTCACTGAACACATTTGTGCCTGCAAAAGCGAGCCCCTTCCCGCGGTATGTGAGTGCGGACTACCGAGTGTCGGCCGGGCACAAGGACTCATGGGTCTTCAGGGACCTCCACTCCTGGGACGCCGTGCCCTTCCTCGGCTGGCCCGTCAAGGACCAGAAAGATTGCAGTGAGTGCCCAGCGGGCAGTGGGGAGACGCAGCTATATTTGGTGTACGCACGCTGTTGTGAGGAGTGCAGCATGCTAGGTTCTCTACGTTTGTTGCTAAAATTATTTTGGAGTTGCTGGGGACCAGGGAAATTGCAGTGAGTGCCAATCCAACAGGGGACCATAACGGTATTTAGGGCAGGGTTGCTGTTGTGAGAAATGCTCCTTCATTCTTTCTTTCTTTGCTTCTTCTTACTTCCTTTATTTCCTTCTTTTCTTCTTTCCTTCTTTCCTTCATTCCTTCTCTCCTTCTTTCCTTCTCTCCTTCTTTCCTTCTTTCCTTCTTTCCTTTTTTTCTCTCTTTCTTTCTCTCTTTCTTCCTTTCTTTCTTTCTTTCTTTCTTTCTTTCTTTCTTTCTTTCTTTCTTTCTTTCTTTCTTTCTTTCTTTCTTTCTTTCTTTCTTTCTTTCTTTCTTTCTTTCTTTCTTTCTTTCTTTATTTCCTTCTTTTTCTGTGTTTAAAGTCTCAAGTTATCAGTGCCAATTCTGACTCATTTCTTAAGCATCATTCCTGCATTGGTTCTTCTGCATCACCACTGTTGCCACCATAACAACGTGTTTCCTGCTGTTCCTTCCGCGCTCCTTCTGTGCCCTCTCCTTCAGATGCATGCTGGGCATACGCAGTGGTGTCAAGCATAGAAGCAGCATACGGCATCGCATTGAATCAAGAAGCCCCAGTGATCTCAGTGGACTCACTTTTCACAGCTATGAATCTCACCACCCAGGCAGCCAAGTGCACAGCGGGAGGATCTCCCACTGAAGCCTTTGAGAAGCTAATGGCGCTGCCTAAGGGGGCTATCACCATGGAAGGCAACACGGTATGAAAGGTAGTAAGGTATGGAAGGCTGTAAGTACGTCATTGTGAGGTAGAAATACTTAAACGTTTATGTTGAGAGACTGAAGGTTGTTGGGAAGCAATTAGCCTTTCAAAATCCATGCAACGATGCTGGTGACGGTGATACCAGGTACATAAAGAGACTTTCACCGGTGAGCATATAAGGCTGTTGATACCCAAAAGCCCCCCCCCCCCCCCCCCCCCCCCCCCCCCCCCCCCCCCCCCTCAAAAAAGGAAAAAAAAAGAGAAAAAGGCTGTTGATGTTTATGGCATCGAAACCAAACTTGTTCAACGTGAACGAATTGGTTGGTGGAAACAACTGGCTCCACGTTCAAGCACAGATGATTGCCTTACCCTCTGCAATCTAATTTAAAATATACCAGTACACATAGTTGGCATTACACGCCACTGTCGGCCTCTTACATTACATGTGCATTGCAAGCACAACGGTTTAAAGCCCTACACACTCACCTTCTTTCGCCCTGTTCATGAAAATTGCCTTTCTTCCCAACCCTGCCAATTTGTACTTGTGCATTTCAGAAAATCACATACCCCGTCCAGGGTTTTGAGCGCACTGCCTTCAAGGGGTATGTGGGGCTCATGCTGGCAGTGCAGCGGCAGCCAGTGGTGGTTCACGTTGAGGCGTTGGCTGCTTCATTCGCCAAATATGATGGAGTGAGTGCTGCCTGGGCAGAGTAACGTCCAGTGCATAAACATATGTGTGCTGGGTTTACTGTGCATGTGTGCGTGTGTGCGTGCGCGCACGCGCGCGCGCGTGTGTGTGTGTGTGTGTGTGTGCGCGTGCATGTGTGCGTGCAAGTGAGTGAGTGAGTGAGTGAGTGCGTGAGTGAGTGCATGCACGCATGTGCGTGTGTGTGTGTGAATGCGTGCATCCTTGCTACTCATGTTTGTAATTTGATAATTCTCTTCTGCGATAATCATACACCTTATACCTGCATGCTATTGTACTTAACGCATTTCATATGCCCTTGTGTCTTCAGACATTCAAGTACCAGGACCCTGCCTGCTATACCGGCAACCTTAATCACGTTGTACTCGTTATTGGCTACCTCGTGTTGAGGAATGACGGGAGCGAGAACCGCATTGCGCCTCCGTTTTGGATCATCCGCAACTCGTGGGGCGAGGCGTGGGGAGACAGGGGCCACATGCGCATTGACATGCAGGGAGGGGATGGCGTGTGTGGCATCAACGTGCTGCCTGGCATCTACCCCATTGTCAAGAGTGAGGCATTTACCCTATTGTTGTTATCTGAACCACACAAATGATATGGGCATTAGTCTAATCCTTTGTCAAGCCTGCCCAGGCTCATGCTTCATAATCACCAGCAACTTGCTATTCATATCATCATATGGAAATACAACTGTCTGTCTTTTCCCCGTCTCCTATTTTCCCTAATCTCCCTAACCCATGTTTTTGTCACGCTTTTGTACCATGCAGTTCCAGGGGACCCGTGTGGTTTGAAGAGCTACAAGGGCGATGGGGACCTGCAGCCCAGCATGAACCCGTGTGGTCGCTTCACCTGCACGCCTTTCCCCAAGAGACCAACAACAACACCTGCGCCTGCACCCTTCCTGCCCCTCAGACCAAGCAGCCCTTTATTGAGGGTGCAAACGGCTACGGAAACACCTGTGTTTATGGTGAGACATGCTTCAGATAGCATATATTTTCCGCGTGCCAGGCATTATTTGTGCTGTTTTCCGCGTGCAAGACAAGACATGTCTTTCTGGGCAACCTAAGAGAACATAAGGCCAACTGAGATTGAGAGACACGGTTCTGGTGGACAGGCAGACCTGAAAGGAAAGCATTCCCGCCCGCTTCACTTGGTTCCCCCGTATTTGCACCGAAAAAAAGCTCTCTTCCTCCCTCCATCTCCTTCCAACTCTCTCCCTCTCTCCCACTCTCCCCTCTCTCCTTTGTCAGTGGACGTGTGTGGGTCATACTTCAAAAACCCTTGTGCCGTGGGCACATGCATCAACGATGGCAAGGGCTCCTACTCCTGCATCTGCCCTCTTAACTACGTCAACAGCACAACCATAGACAGCTTCCCCACCTGCGACCCAGGTGCTGTGCTGCTACTCCTCCACCTTCCTGTGCCTCCTCGTTTTCCCACAGCTACACTTCTCTCTTGCCATTCCTTGAATCGAACTCTCATTGTGACAACTGCTGGTGCTTCAACGTGTTTAGAGACGCCTCGAATGAGTTCTACAAACTCTTCCGTTCTCCCTCCTTCACTCCACTCTCCATCTTCCAGCCAACACCACCGCCGCCAACTTGGTTGTGACAGGAGACAACTGGTTGTGCTCTGACATTTACCCTCTCGTGGGCCTCACTCTATCGCAGTTCACATCGCAGAACCCAGCAAGGAGAGACTAACCTGACTGGGGGGGATCATGGCATGCATGACAAGGGCACGGGGAAAAGGAAGGGGATAAGTGTAGAGGAAACTGCTTGCTTGCTGACATGCTTCTATGGTACACATGGAGACCACAGGATGGAATGTGAGGCGCAGGCACACGGTGATTGGCTTGCCAGAAGGGTGCGAGGTGCTGGGAAAGGTAGGTTGCGACGGGTTCGCAAGCTCCGTGCATGCGCTTCTTCCCCCCCTTCATATCTGTGCCTCTGGATGCCTCTGTATACCTCTGGATGCCTCTGGATGCCTCTGGATGCCTCTGAGTGCCTCTGGATGCCACTGAATGTCCCCCCCCGTGTCATATCTGTGCCTCTGGATGCCACCCCCCCCCCCTTCCCCCACCCCCCTATGCCTGTGCTTCTTGATGCAGTCTGTCGTGTGCACCAAGGCCTTGCCAAAAGGCAGAAGGCTTCGGATCGTTGATACTCCTGCTATCCCCTGCACTGCCTACTTTTACGCTCTCAGTGTGAGTGCTGGAGCCCTTTTCATGTCCCATCGATTTTTTTTTTATAATTATTATATATTTTTTTTTGGGTGCAGCGACGCATCCTATTACTCGGTGCATCACCCTTCATTATCACTTATCACGTCTTGTCCCCTTCTAACCTCCCTCCACCCTCCAGGGCGACACGTGTCTTTCCATCGCCAAATCGCTTCGCACCACTGTGAACGATCTCATGAATCTCAACCCCGGCCTTGACTGCACGCAAACCATCAAGGCCGGCCGCTCCATCTGTGTGGAGCGCAACGAGACATACGCTTACACCGTGCCTGAGTGTGTGAAATACACCATTCTCACAGCAGACGACACGTGCGAGAAAATGCTGCAGGGGCAGGGATTGCAGAACGATCCGTCTATCTGGGCTGAGCTCTACCGCAACAATCCCGGTCTTCTTTGCTCCAACGTCGTCCCTGCCTCTGCCTCGGCCGTTGGCAGCAATGCTGGCGTGCAGGTGAGCGGTGGAAGTGGGGCAGGAACAGGATTGGGCAGGGGAGTTGGTAGATTGAGAGAATAAGGAACAGTGTGAAGTTTTCCATCACTTTGTTCACTTATGTTTTGATTTTTTTTTTTTTTTTTTTTGCATGTATGATATAATCATCCGTCTACTACCTGCCCTTGTTGCACTATTGTCGACTGTCTTGCCTTCCATGCATTTTCCTTCCCCTCCATCCCCCTCTGCTCTCTGCCCTCTGCCCTTCCTGCATTCCCAGGTGTGCCTGAAAGCGGAATATTGGCCGTTTGAACTTGGTAAATGCACTAAGGGCCGGCCCAAGAATGTGTCGCCATCGCTGTCCTGCTCCGCTGCTTACAGCTACTATGGCGGCACTATGACCCAAGCAGCTGCAGATTTCAATACCTACAACGGCAATGCCTGTGCCAAGAATGTTGGATCAAAGTTTATTTGTGTCCCACGATAGATGAATATGTTACTTTTCCATCTTTGTGCTGGAGGGGGAGGGGGGGGGAGGGGGATTTCCATGGGTTGAAAAAAGAGCTTACAACTGGAGTCACTTGTGTGTGCCGTCCACTGTCTAATAATGATTTGTCTGTTTTTTCTCATTGTGGCTGTACGTTGAGTCCTGTTCTCATTGGTCTGAAACTATTAAATCTGGTGGGCATAGGGTGTATGTGGGCTTTGGTCGAGGACCCTTCTTTATGTACCTACATGTGTGTGGAGCTTGACTTGTAACCTACTATGCTATTATTTCCATTTACCGCATACTTGTGTAGTTTTGTTGGCTATATTGTAGTATGGACATTTAACGCCATCTTCTTGAGGTAGTACCATGCTTGCATGGAAAGTAGACAAGGATTAAGCTGTAGACGTACTAGTAGTCTTCTTCAAGTGACATTATTTACATACCAGATTTTTTTTCCTCTTCTTCCTCCTTTGCCACCAACACGGCTTCCGATCCTCCACAGGCCCCTCCTCTTCCAGCTGTGTTCGAAGCTTCTCTATCTCCGCCCGCATCTCCGCCACTCCCCCTCTTTCGCTATCATCTCCCCTGCAAGAGTAGCAATCTTGCTCCATGCTGCAGCAAGGCGCGTTCGGGCAGTGTTGCCGCATATGGAACAGGTTGGTGGATTCCGACAAACACTCCTCAGGTGTCCTGTCCGCCCACAGGCGACACAGCGCTCATGTCCGTTGCTTCCACCGGTGCTGCTGTCCATACTGGACGCCGACTCTCGCTGTGCCCCACCGTGCGTTCCACCTCTAACAGCCGTCGCCCCATCTCCACTCTGTTGGCGGCTTTGTATGCTTCCTTTAGCGTGGAGCCTGACCCCAGGTTAAAGATCTTCACCTGTACATCTCGCTGAAGCTTTTAGTGCATACAGCCCAAGAACTTGCCGATCAGTCGGCGTTGATCGAAGCAGTTAATGTTTTCTCCCAGCTTGACAATGTGTCTGTAATATGCCAGAAACGACTCTCCTTGCCGACGCCTAAAATCCTGGAATTCCACCATGCGCTCCAGCGTCTGCAGCGGGAACTGTTCTCTCAGCATGTCCAAGAACCGTGCTGTGTGATCTCGATCCCCTGGTCGGCCCGTGGCAGTGCACTCCAGCAAATCCCTTCGACACATACGGTAGCACGTTTCAGCCTCCTTATTGAGGGTGTTTGCCAAGCCGTGAAAGAATTTATCCGGCAGTAATCGATCTCGCTCCATCTTGCCCTCAGGTTCTCAAGCTGCATGATGTACATTTTCGGCAGCATCATGTATCGCCAGCGCGTCAATGTCGCATCTTCCTCCAATCCCTGCCATGATGCGCTCCGAGTATACAGTCGATTGCTTTGGGTTGGTTGCCTCCATCCCCGCTAATCATTTTCTCTGTCTCCGTATTTGTCTCCTACCTTCCATTTTCCACGCTCGTCACGCTCCTCCGCCCTAGGTACTTGTGGCATCTTGCTAAATTTCTACTCAATGCTCCACCTCATATGCACGCTACTCCATCTATTGCTTGTATGTGATGAGCTCTAAGATCCTTGACATGGCATACATAACTGTCTTCTGTGCCATGATCTGACATACGCGACTGTCTACTGTGCCTGGATCTAGCTTGTCAAATTGCTTCTGCTACTGCTTGCATGATGAGTCATCCCCAGGGTCCTCTCTTTACAAGAGCTCTCAAGCCCCATCTCTGCGACCGTCTCTGGTGTAAGAGATGTGTGATGCTTTCACTACTTCCTTTTCACAAGTTTCTGTTATCTCACGCATGCAATAAAGTCTCCCCACGATATCCAATTCCTTCCTATAAGTGTTTTTCTTGAATTTGTGCATTATCCATCACTCATTTGTGCAATCCCTCCTCCACCCTGACACCTACACACCTGTTCAACTTACCTTGATACCCACCTCCAGTTTTTCCTTGCAGCTGTATTACATTCATCCCTACACCATCACCGCCTGATACTCACTGTCAGAATCCCAGCCACTAACCACTGGGATAAAATGGCTTGTTTGTGTAGCGGGTGAGTGCGCCCATAACCCCCTAGGCCAACGTGCCTGTAACCCTTCCCTAGGATCAATCGGGGATCACCAGTGAACCTCTGACACTCACGTCTTCTCAAGAGGTGTTTTGTTGGTTTGGAAGCCGATTGTGCCATTGTAGTTTATCCAAACTTGGGCAAGGAGCTCAATAACAAACAGCCATTTGAGCAATATCTCAAACTTGAACTTCCAAATATTGAAGTCCTCTCCTTCAAACAAAGCAGCTGACTGACCCCCATTTTGATGTACTTGAATAGTGCTTCAAACTGTGCTTGTTGTTTTTAAGCATGTGCTTCAGATTGATTCGCCTTATCTGTGTCCAAAGGGAGCTCCACAATTCTTTTTGTAAACTTTGAGACCTCAACGCTCATGTGTTAATTGCTCTTCAATGCGCTAATTGTTAGGTGTAACAATTGTTGCTTCTCTTTCCAACATCTTGAACTTCGCTCATGAGTCTCTCACGTCACTTTCGTGACCGATCTTTTTCTATTATAACACTGCATGTGAACTGGTCTTGTGGCCCTTTGCTTGCTTGTGCTCTGACTTTGTGGTGATCTTGAGATCCACCCCGAGCTTTGCCTTGCTTCTTCTTTTGACTGGTCTTGTGACAGTTTATTGTTCTTCCTATTCCTCTCTTAGCCTATGGGGGTATGTCAAATTATACATGTGTATATTGTTAGGCTATATTGGGGCTAGCCTTAGGGGATACACAGTTGTAGTGTTTCCTACTTGTACTCCTCACTTGTTAGTTCATATTACTCCCTTGGCCTATCATCTTAACTCTATCAACGCTCATAGAATAATTAATCTCCACTGAGTAATTTTGTGCCATTGAATTTCACAGAAATTTCACAGTAAGAGTTGTTGTGTGATAAAACACAGAAAGCCTTGTAGTCCTATTCTACTCTTACCATGTTGTGCAGGCCCTCAGATTGGTTTGGGGACATGCTGATCGATTAGTGTGCAGTGTCCAAATTGGTGTCCAAATCAGCGTTGGGGGTTAAATCTATGCTGATTTTTTCAGTGTAAAATTTGTAAGGCAAACTGAACATCTGTAATTTAATGTAAAACTGCATACAACAGCGGTGCTTCTGTCGTAGTTATTTGGGGCCCGTGTCGTAGACTCCAAGGTCCCAGGTTCGTTTCCCGTTGACAGAAGCTACTAGCGTAGTCCGCAAACCTTTCTTGTGGGAATCCTGGGTTGAACACCCCCTGTACACCCATACCCTATACTGATTCGTCAGTGTTACGTGTACAGCAACACGCAAAATGGTCAGTGTGGCAAAATAGGTTATACTGAAATTTCAGTGCAAAATTGAAGCATATGCTGAATTTTCAGGGAAAACGAAAATCTAAGCTACAAAATCAGTGTAATCAGCGTGTTTTACGCTGATATCTGAGGGCCTGATGTTGTGATAGTTGAAGCATCATCCAATAGGGATACGGCTTTGTAAGAGAGCAAAAAACCTTTATGGTACTTGTTATAGTGAAATTAAATACCAGCATAATAACGTTGTTCAAATAAGAAATGTAGTCCTATCTAGCCATGTACAAGGGGTACATTCCCTTATTATACCCCCATATAACACTCATCCCAATACAGAACTGATATGAAATGGATATTCCTGGACCGAAACTTAAACACATTGATCTAGCGGATCACACATATGAACTCTAACATAACATTCCCAACACAGGCTTTCACGTAGTACATCCTGTGCTTATGGTCCCTCCATAGAAGCTTTAAGCACCATAACATGTCTGCGATGGCGCTGCATTCTTGGGCCGGTCCTTAGTGAACTTGCCAAGTTGAAACGACCATTATTCTGCTATGATGCACACGTGGCAGTTCCACATGGGCAGAGGGTTGAAGGATACGGGGGGCAGAAGCATGAATACAAGAAGAACGGTACTACAAAATCATGGAAAAAAATAGTAAATATTAGATTCCAACATGGGCAGAGTAGGAAGGTCATAAGGGCAAGAAAGACATAATAGATGCAAAGATGGAACAGAAAGGTGCACCTCACGGATGACCACCTCCACATCTCCTCTTGATTCTCTCATTCAACTCCTCATTCCCTCCTCAATTCACACCTTCGTTTCCTACCCTCTACATCAACAACCTTGCTTAGTACCTCCCCAACGTCCCAGTTCGTCATCTACTCCCCACCACTCTTCATTCTCCTAGTCGGCCACTTCTCTTGCCCAATCCTGTTCCTGTACCGCTTCCACCCCTCACCTGTACGCCGGCATTGCTGCCAACAGCTGAAGCAGAAGCAGGGACGGAGCCAGAGCACACAAGACCGGGATTATTGCGGTAGAGCTCAACCCAGGCGGATGGATTCGCCTGCAGCCCCAACCCCTGCAGCAGCCGCTCACACGTGTCCTCCGCTGTGAGTGTGGTGTATTCTACACACTCAGGAACGCTGTAGGCATGGGTTTCGTTGCGCTCCACACAGATGGAACGGCCAGCGTTGATGTTTTGGGTGCAGTCAAGGCCGGGGTTGAGATCCATGAGGTAATTTGTGGTGGTGCGGATAGAGGTGGCAATGGAAAGACATGTGTCGCCCTGGAGGGTGAAAGGAGAACGGAAATGGAAGAAAGATATTTAGCGAGGACGATAAATAGGACGATCAAATACTAATATAAAAAGCTGTAAACAAACGAAGATTAGTGAGGATGATCATTCAGTTGGTCTAGTGGTAATAACAAGGGTTGACTTGACAGTGGTTCATGACGGCCCTGTGTGAAGCTTGACACAATGGTAATTCAAAGATTATTAAAGAATCACTCATGGCACAAGAAGAATCAATGAGGGATAACTAGGCGCTTAAGCACTCACAGTGAGAGTGTAGAAGTAGGCAGTGCAGGGGATGGCAGGAGTATTGGTGAGCTGAAGAATCGTCCCCTTAGGAATGGCTTTGCTGACCACAATGGCCTACAGCAAAGAAGCACAGGCATGGAGGGCATTAAGAAACATAGATATAGGGTCAATAAGGATCATATACCAGGAGCAAAGGCTGCTTATAAACACATCCGTCCTAGCTCCTTGTGCCCTTCCAGATAGCTAATTGCTCGTACTCATTTTGCTCCCTGTCGCTCCCATTCCTTCCTGCCCTTCAAATGTTTGCCAATGGAGCCAAGGTGATCGCCAAGCAACAAAGAAGCTCTACTGTATTAACGACGTATGAAATCCACAGCTGCCGAGGTTCACCTCAATTCTGAGTCGACTCAATGTTTCACCTCCTTGGCAACAGGATACGTCTTAACTTGACTCAAAATCCACCCTTTCGAACCCTCCTTACAGGGTTTTGCTGTGTAAACTGCGACTGGGTGAGGCCCACGAGTGGATAAACATCGGAGCACAACCAGTTGTTCCCGGTCACTGTCATGCTGGTTGCCGTGGTGCTACCTAAAACAGACAGGGACGGTGGGATGGATGGAAGGAGAGACAGCAAACGAGTTAGTTCAAATTGGTTGACAAATGAGAAGCCGCAACGAGAGAGGGAAGGATTCGACCACCTATTGCATCATGCATTGTGTGGGTGGATTTGCCTCAAAGCTCAACTGGTGGCAAACATGTACAGTTATCCAAAGGTTCCTTGCTCATGCCAACAAATATTTCCATTGTTTCTAGTAGAATCCGCAAAAGGACAATAGATATAAAGCTGTTGGGGAAGATGGAGAAGGAGCAGCACCTGGTTTGCAGGTAGGGAAGTTGTCGATGGTTTGGCTGGGTACGTGGTTGGGAGGGCCGATACAGGAGTAGGCGCCCATGCCATCGTTGATGCATGTGCCCACAGCACAAGGGTTCTTGAAGTACGACCCACACACGTCCACTGACAAGAAAAAGGTGGAGGAGGTGAGAGGAAGAGGTGGAAGGGAATGTGTGGGGGGGGAGGGGAGGGGAGAAGGGGGGGGGGTGAGGAGAGGGGGGCAGAGAGCTTTCTCAGCGGGCTCAACAAACGTTTCCCTGCTATGCTACCTTAGCAGTTACTCTCACTTACTTGAGAAATGTTTTTTTCGTAGGCTGTGTAAACCCTATACACAAAATCGAATGTTATGCACTGTCAAAATAAGGTCTTACATACACACCGAACCCCAAGTACAAGACACACCATATGAGTGTTTCTCACCATAAGCACAAGTGTTTCCATAGCCATTGACAGCCTCAATAAAGGGCTGCTTGGTTTGGCCGGGAAGGGAGCAGTTGCATGAGTTGCTGTTGGTCTTAGTGATGGGCTTGCAGGTGAAGCGACCACACGGGTTCATGCTTGGCTGCAGATCCCCAATGCCCTTGTAACTGTTCAAGCCACACGGGTCCTTTGCAACTGAACAACATGAAATAGACCCAAAGATATGATTGATATGAAAATTAGAAAAGGGGGTAAATGAAGGAATCGGGGAAACAAAGGAAAGGGCAAAGAAGTGTGGAATTTGAGACAGAGACGGATAGCGGATCAGTAGCTGCCCATAAGTGCCCCATTCATTATACTAACATAGATGCCTTACTCTTGACAATGGGGTAGATTCCAGGCAGCACGTTGATGCCACACACTCCGTTCCCTCCCTGAATGTCCATGCGAATGTGGCCCTTGTCTCCCCAATCCTCGCCCCACGAGTTGCGGATGATCCAAAACGGAGGTGCAATGCGGTTGTCAATCCCGTTATTCCTCCGAATCATGTAACCAACAACGAGTACATTGTGGTTAAGGTTGCCAGTATAGCTGCCGGGGTCCTGGTACTTGAAGGTCTGGAGACACATGGGCATATTGTAAAAGCATGCAAGGCATATTTTTATCTCGTACAAGTGTCACACATGTTGGTTGAAAACGCCCAGTGTTGATGGGCGTAGATACTGTGTTTCATGCATGCATCTTTGCATTTAAGCACAACCATCACACTCTAGCCTTGCCCAGTACTTTGTAAGGGAGTAAGCCCAGCCAGCAAGCACTCACCCCGTCATAACTGGTGAAAGATGCAGCAGAAGCTTCGATATGAACCACCACTGGCTGCCGCTGCACTGCCAGCATGAGCCCCACATACCCCTTGAAGGTGCGCTCAAAGCCCTGAACAGGGTATTTAATTTTCTGGAAAAACAAAGAAGAAGAATGGAGTTTGGGAAGAGCAATTTTTCAAGTAAGTAGCAGATTTAGAAAGGCATCATGAGAAGATGAAGGAAGGAAATATATGAGAGACTATGAGGCTGTAATGAACCATAACGTTCTTCGAGTTGATGGGCGCAAACGATTGGTTACCACAAAAGATGACTGTATGTAGTCGACACGTGGAAAATAAGATTGAACAGTAACACACTGTGTGGCATTGTAAAACACGCTGCACCATTGCAGTACACATGTTTATTCATCTCACAACCATATATGTCACAAGAGGTCGACCTTGGGGTTTGATGTCAACAAAGTTGTGGCATACTTGTGCTTCGGTTTGACAATGACTGCCCTCATTGCTCGTGACATACCAGATTGCCTTCCATGGTGATGCCCCCTTTGGGCAGAGCCAGCAGCTTCTCAAAGGCCTCTGTTGGGGAGCCCCCAGCAGTGCACTTGGCTGTCTGGGTGGTGAGGCCCATGGATGCAAAGAGTGAGTCCACAGACATCTTCGGCGCCTCTTGATTTGTTGCGATACCGTATGCTGCTTCTATGCTCGACACCACGGCGAATGCCCAGCACGCATCTGAAGGGTACCGAAGGAAAGTGGCGAGAAAGGAGACCAAAGCGGAAAGCAGATCGGAAAGAGAACCTGAAGTTCCGCAAGGAGGTAACCGATTATTATTAGTTTTTTTTTTTCCAAAAATAACACATCGACAAAATCCCAAAAACACCACATCATGGTGCACCGTTATCTGAGTTGGCTAAATACTCACTGCAGCCTTGCTGATCTTTGACAGGCCAGTTGAGGAAAGAAACGGAGTCCCAGGAGTGGAAGTCCTTGAAGACCCACGAGTCCTTCTGCCCGGCCGACACTCGGTAGTCCGCACTCACGTAGCGCGGGAAGGGGCTCGCCCGTGTAGGCACGTATGTGTTCGGAGATATGCTGAGACCATAGGCTGCAGATAAGGGAGATTAGGTGTGTGCGTATGTGCGTGCGTGTGTGTGTGTGTGTGTGTGTGTGTGTGTGTGCATGGGCAGGTGGGAGAAGGGACAAGTGTATTGACAAAAGTGTGTTCAGCAGAGGGAAGGGTCAGCAGGAAGTGATAGATGTATAGAAAGAGGACGGGTTCAGTAGGTATGCACGCAACGACAAGAAAGCAGCTTGGAACAGCAAGCCGGCTACATTTTGTAGATAGCAATAAAGGTCAGAAACCATGTAGCGTGAAACAATTAGCCCCTAACGCTTCACCATGTTTAATGTTTTGCTGGCATGCAAGGACTTGCCTGGATTGATGTCCACCATCCTCGATGCTGGAGGAGTAGCTGCAAGAAAGAAATGAGACCAGGGGAAATTTAGACAAGGAGAAAACGAGATAAGGGGGAAATGAGATAAGGAGGAAATGGGACAAGGAGGAAATGAGACAAGGAGGACATGAGACAAGGAGGAAGTGACACAAGGAGGACATGAGACAAGAAGGAAATGAGCCATGGAGGAAACGAGACAAGGAGGAAATGAGAGGAGGAAATTAGACAAGGAAAAAATGATGCAAGGGGGAAACAAAACAAGGTAACTCTTTTGTGTATGTGGAATCCTTAAATTATATGAGTTATACCAATAAGAGGAAAAACTCAGTGCATTATGGGTCTCCCCTCTAATAGCCTATTAATGAAAACTACAGTGTGAAGGCACCAAAGGAATGATTTCCTGTATGCAAGGCAGAGATGTGGCCTATGCACCATGAATCGTTTCACTGTGTGGATGCACCGTTTCACTGTGTGGACGTATGGGGTCTAAGATCAATGAATATATCACAACAGATCTCCCAGAACCACCAGGGAAACCACCAGCTTTCCACCTACCAGTATGCAGCTCAGAGCTGAGGATGGCTTACATCGTGAACGGCTTCACTGTGGTGGAAGCCACGAAGCCAAAATAAAACGCCCGTGGCAGCGCTGGTTGTGGTTGCGGCGGTCCTGGCTTTAGCACCTCACACAGCGACAGCCTCGTCTTCAGCAGCGGCTTCCCCGGCTTCTCTGCTGTGTTCGCCAGGAACACTTGGATGGTTCTGGGGTCCCCAGGTGTATAGTCCACCCATGCCGTGTATGCCTGCTTGTTGGTCAGCTTGAACGGGGATTTCACAGCAGCAATAGACTTGTCCTGGCCCTGAATGTTCAGCCCCACGTGCTCCTCTTTCATGTCGCCATGTGGCTTGTTTTGAAGCACGTCAAACTCAATCGCCATGCTTCGTTCATCCATCCCTCCGTACCCCACTCCAACACTGTTCCCTACTGTGTTGCTTGCCGAGACCACAAATGCAAAGCCGTTGGATGCCGCCTTGCCTTTGGGCGACAGGGCAAAAGTGAACATAACATTAAACACCATTTCAAATCCGCAACCTGGGTGATCCTGTGCAATTTCGTACATGAAAAGAGGCACCGGCTCTTTACTGAACATTCCAACCGTCTCTGTTTTTTATCCCATCGTGAGAATTGTTGATGATGGCAGAATTTCCATGTTGAGTAATGACACAAGGTCGGATTCTGGAATTTTGGGGGAAGGATGGAAAATAGAACCAGAGGGGAGGTAATAACAAAAAAAAAAAAAGTATAAGAATGTTGTGAGAGATCAGATCCTGACAGCTGTAGAAGGATGATGTGCTATATAACTCAAAGTATATCAAAGCTGCACATGCTTGCCTTCCAGCAGCATGTCAAAGCAAAGAAGCTGTTTGAGAGCAGAGATGCAAATGCACGTGCTTCACTAATCCGTGCCTTCTTTCCACTAAACCACGACCCCATTTACCTTCAAAAAGACAGTGGGTGCCATGAAACAGGCGGGACCATTGGCTGCACAAGCAGGAAGGCACCAAGCTAGGCCCGTCGGGATAGCACATCCCTTCCCCGGTGCAGGGAGCATCAAAGGTGTCTATTGAGATGCCACAAAACGCCCGGCATGCTGACTCGGAGCGCTGCACTGGTGAGGTTTGTCCTTGAGTCAGTTTGAAGCAATTGGCATCCAGCAAGTCTGTCGGCTGTGAGGTTAGAATGCCCCAGAGGTAGTTGTATGAAAGTACAGCCAGCACGTTAGCTGGCTTCATAATGGGGCCTATGAAATAGTTGTGGGAGAGGTCGCTGTGAGGGTGGATCAAGTGTGGGAGGACAGGGCAAAAAGACAGGGGCAGTGAGCAGGCTAGACATTTCAATACAGCATTATGCAACCATATGGGAAACGAGATTGATACCAAGTGTGGTATCAAATGAATACAGTGTGGTACTAGTATGGTGATGTTGATTGAGCAAGTGAATGTGCTGTGCCAGTGGGAGGACAGGGGCTGAAGATTGGGGATGGGTGGAAGGGGGAGGGGGGGGTGGGGGGGTGGGGGTGCGGGGAGAAGAGGATGCGCGGGGAATCACGCCAAGAACAGTGTATTTGTCCGTAATTTGGAAGGAACAAAACAAGCATGGCAGTGGGGAGGGGGTGGGGGGGGGGGGGGGGGGAGGGGGGAGGAGTGGTGGTTGGGTGAGGGTGTGCACACATGGAATCAAGTGTGTCTTACAAAGTCTTGAGTTTTGTGACCAAGGTGACTCCGTCTGGTATGGGTCCATACAGCTGGTTATTGGCAAGTGACCTGAGATCCATAACGGTGAAGGCATGGTGCGGGCATGGTGAAGGGAGGGGCATCGCATTTGCCGGGAAAACTTGCATCGCATGTGCACACGTGAATTATTAGAGAAGAGGAGAGGACAGGAGAGTACATGAGATGAGAGGAGAGGAGAAGAGAATGTAGGGGAGGAGAGAAGACAGCATTCGGCAGGAGACTAATTTTATGACAGATTCAAGGTTCCCTGTGTTGTTGCCTACCTATGGTGGAGGTAAGAAACCTGGTGAGAATTATGAGTGGATGGTGGTAAAATGTATTATACTGGGTGTTTTCAGAATACTGTGGGCTAATAACCTCGCCATGTATTCGGGAGAACACACATAAAATCACCTTTATATGGCTGAGCTCGGATCATCAACCAACACTCACAAATGTTTAAGATTGGCAAGGCTGCGTATTGCAGTCGAAATTGTTCCGGTAAGTCTGTTACTGTCTAGCCACCTGCACACACACAATGTCAGCCATAGTCTCAAAACCACCTATCAGCGTGCAATTGTGCTGCACGTTCTGATTGTGTGCGCAACTGTGCAGGTGGCTTGTTACTGTCAAGCCACCTGCATAGACACAATTTCATTGTGCTGTTCTGATTGTGTGTGCTTATGATGATGCGTTAATGCGTGTGGCCCATGGGTCGCTTGCAGTCCCTACTTGGCTTTCATCTCTGGAAAACAATGACCTTGTAAGGCCGTATAAAATACTGCTCTAAAAATAGTAGGACAGGTGAGAAGTGCAGCAATGCAAGAGAATTGTATGGACAGAATGTTTTCAGATTCGCCTTACAGCTCCTGGATATTTCTCAGTGCAAAGAGATTCCCTGGAATAAGCCCATTCAGGTCGTTCAGCCTCAGATTCCTGCCTTGCAGAGAGCAAACGGATGTAGAGAGGGATAGGAGATGGATGAGACCGAGAAAAAAGCACACAGTAGGACATTTTGGCAAAAAATGAACAGCAGAAAAAAACGGGATTTGAGCACAGACTGGCAAGGGATAGTGCAAGTGATCCACAGGATCACGCAGCACAAGTGTCTGAAGGGAATAGTGTAGTGGACGAGATGGTGAGGAGGTGTGGCAGGGTGATAGGAGAACAATGCAAGGTGGACAGTCCGTATAGAGAGGGCTTACAGGTAGGTGAGACTGGTCAAGGAACTGAATTCTACAGGGATTGTATCATACAGCACGTTGAAGGCTAAGTTCCTATGGGCAAGAGGGGCACGGGGGAGGATGGACATGTATGAGGTACATGAGAACCGGATAGGTGTGCTTGTGCAGTGTAATGATTTTAGTGATACCCTTACACAAGGTCTAGATGCCGGTTTGGAGAGATACGAGTAGCTGGAATAGCAGAAAAGCTCTGGTTGCAGAAATATGCGTTGCAGCAGTGACCACAGTGGTGGTGGTGGCAGCAAAAGCTGACAGAACTTAGGCTTAGAACTGATGCATTAATAATGGGCTCGAAGTTCTTTAAGTACATCAAAGAAGGGCAAGGAATGGACGGGGAAGGGAATCGGGGGCAATCCCTAGGGATTGGGGGTAATGGGGGTAATCCCAAGGCAATCTCCAATTGGTGGGTTGGAGATTGCTTGGAGATTACATTTGGGTTTGGTTGGGATGTAGGTGTACACCCAACCAAACACAAAGTGCAAACTACACTACTCTAGGATATAGAATATAAATTACAACGTGTTAGATTGAGGGCTAACGCTAACAGAAGCAGCCGCAGAAGCAGCAGGAACAAGCAGGAGAATAAGCAAAAGAAGAAGCAACAGCAAGAGTGCATGGCAGCGAGTGCAGTGGGCACGGGGGATGCAAGGGTGGCATGGTGGCACTCACAGTGTGACCAGACGTGTCAAGCTGCTAAGGGATGGAGGGATGGACCCAGAGAGCTGATTGCGGGACAGGTCCCTGGAGGCAAGGGGGAAATGAGGGATTGATGGATGAACGGAATCACGGTAGGATTGTGGTTTGACCCACTGACAAGACGATTGAGTAATTGGTGCAAATATCATTTGATGACCGAACCTGCTAGTGTGATGGCGACGGTGGATAAATTATCGTATCAATGAGCTGATAAATAGATGAGTAGAGTGATGCGGTGAAGAAAGCAGCGACCGGCCAAGCGGGCATCCTGCAGGAAACCAGAACTAGAACTAGAAAAGAAAGCAAACTAGAAACTTGCACAAAGATAAGCATTTAGATTCCTTTCTTACATCCACATCTCCTAGATTTTGGTGCATCTCACCAGAACTTCCTTGTAGCCCCTTTTTTTTCAGAAAGAGCACAAGATCGCAAAGTGAAACCTGCAAAATCTATGTCGAAACCAGATGTTCATGGCAACAGAATGTTGATCTGGTTTTCCTATATGTGTTTGCCTACATCTATAATCAAAATACTCATCAGATTTGAGCACACCAACCATGGCATATGCTAGGCCTTACAGGGTTTCCAGGTTTCTACAGAAAGTGATAGCTGAGGGGATTGAGCCAGTGAGCTGGTTGTTGCTGAGGGACCTGTATTGGCGAACAGACATGAAGAAAACGTTTGGTAGGCCAATGTAGAGACTTGGAACGTGCATGAGAATTGACAGTAAATAGGCAAGTACAACGGATGGAAGTGTGATAAATGGACATTGTACTTAAGATATGAATTACAAGGCATTGTGACGTGCAAGAAGCGTCGAGGGGAAGGTTGAATAGACAGGTGTGACATAGAGAGAGGAGAACAATGTGAGGCGGACAGTTCATATAGACAGCGCTTACAGGTAGGTCATCCTGGTCGAGGCACTGATTGAGATGGATCCTGACAGCACGTTAAAGGCTAAGTTCCTATGAGAAAGGGGGGCACAGGGGACGGGAGGGTGGATACGTATGAGGTACATGAGAGCAAGATACGTGTTCTTGTGCAGTGTAACACGATTCTCATAAGAAACTTACACTGGTGCAATGAAAGGTCTAGACACCACACGGTTTGGATATATACAAGACGAAGTTTGCTTGCAGCATAATGTGCGGCGGCAGTGACCGCAGTGGTGGTGGTGGTGGTGGTGGCAGAATCAGAAGCCACAGAAGCAACAGCCGCAGCAGCAGCAGGAGAATCACCAAGATCAGAGAAGAGTGCATGGCAGCGAGTGCAGTGGGCTCGGGGGTGCAAGGGTGGCATGGTGGCACTCACAGTGTGACTAGACGTTCCAAGTAGTTCATGGTTGCAGGGATGGGCCCAGAGAGCTGGTTGCGGGACAGGTCCCTGGAGGCAAGGGGGGAATGGGGGATGGATGGATGAACGAATGGAATCATGGACGAAAGATGGGTTGACACATGGACAAGCCGATCAAGTGATGGTGGAAAATTCAAATGATAAGCTCCCTTGGTGGTGGTGCTGGTGGTAATGGGTTGATAATTAGATTGATGGACTGGTGAACAGAATGACAGGTTGATGGCTGATGGGGCGTAACTGCAGGAGAAAGAAAAGAAACCAGAAGCTCACCCACAGATGCGCATTCAGAGTTGGAAGTCCACATTTGCTAGATTCTTGTCAAGCTCGTAATTTGTGTCTCATTTTTCAGAGAGAGCACAATATGTTGGTTCTTATCTGAAGGTGAAGTGAAGTTTGCAAATGCTAGGGTAGCACAATATGTTTTTGGCAACAGATATGCAGAAGTCGGATCCCAAAACTGTTGATCTGGGTAGTTCACATGCTTTGTTCTGCATGTATAGTCAACGCACATGCTAAATTTCACTGAGCACACCAGCCATGGCAAATGTAGGCAT